ATTTTAAAAAAAATTAAACAAATTCAAAATTAACTAAAATAGGGTTTAATTAATATAATTAATTATTCAACACAATTATTATAAAATAATAATTTATATTTAATTAGTAGTATTTTTAGTTTTACTTTTATTAAAACAAAAAGATGAGAATATTTTCTTTCCATTCATTGTTGTTGGCTCTAATAAAAAGTGTCATATTTATATAAACTAAATATCTAAAAAAAATGTATGAACTATAAACTGCTAAACCTTATCTTGAGGGTTACTATGAACTATTGTGTAGAATAAAAATAATTATTTATTAAATTTCGCAAAAATTGCGAAAAAAAAACTTTAAACTGATAAATATCTAAAGAAAAGAAAATTGTAAAATTAAAAAAAAAAATTAATAATCGTTTAGAAAAATATTTTAGTTTAATATATTTCGGGAAATATTTTCATTACTGAAGTACTACATTCTAAATTCTTCCCACGTGACTTAATAAGTTTTTTACTATTTCCTATAAGAAAAAAAAATACAAAAAATATATAAACTTTCGAGAAAAAAAAAAATAACTGATACGTACAAAAAAACTATGAAAATAAATTGAAAATTATTGTCCAGATTTTAAATAATAATTCGTATATAATATCATTTTTATTTTTTAAAAAAAATTTTTATTTATTATATTATTATTATAATTATAATTATTTTTAATAATAATAAAAATAATTTATTATTTATTATTATTTATTTATTTGCATTGACTCTCGGAGTGATTGTTAACTTTCCACAATTTCTAAACTCTTATTATTATTTACTATAATAGTATAATAATAATATTAATAAATAATAATAAATAATAATAAATAATAATCTAAATAATGATAATGATAATAACAATGATTATTTGCTATCACATAATACAATATCTAATAACATCAGAACGGTATTATTCTAAACAATAAAATTTTAATAAAAAATAAAATATGAAAAATTAAATCGAATAAAAATTTTCAAACAAAGTGACAAAAATTATGATTTAAAATCAGGACAATATTTTATTTAATAAATCAAATTTTCTCTAGTTCGCCTCTCCTATAATAAAGTTCTTATTAATCTTTCTCTCTTTTTGTCTCTCCGCTTCAAGTTAAATAACTATTTTATAGAACTTTAGATTAAATTGAAAAAAAAGAAAAAGTAGAAAAATCGAATTAAGCCTCTCCTCGTATTATTATTAATAGAAAAGTAAGCATACAGAATTAGTATTATTACCCCCTGTTGTTATATAATTAAAAAATGTATTTTAAGAATTTTTTTTTCCTATTCTACTTTATATCTGAATTTATAATTAAATCTGTAATTACCACGGATCTTAAGATAATTTACATTTAATATAATTATGATGCTATTCAGATTGGATTAATTTCTCGAGTGTGCAATTCACACTCAATTATTTATTAATACTATTGATACTATCTGTAAAATAAAATTTCGAAAAAGAGAAAAAAAAAATTTGGAATTCCTTACAATGAAAAATAATTTAAAGCGCCTAAAAAATTATTTTATATATTCATTATATACGTAATAATAATAATAATAATAATAATAATAATAATGCATCAGTGCACGAAATTATTGTAAAAGAAATACAAACAGAAAATTAAAAATTAAAAATTAAAAATTAAAAATTAAAAATTAAAAATTAAAAATTAAAAACTAAAAACTAAAAACTAAAAAATAAAAATTAAAAATTAAAATTAAAAAATTAATTTTAGAATATTTATTTTGTAAATTAGAAATTCTTTCGTATGTGAGTAGTAATTATTATTACTGTTATTACTGCGCTAATTATTAACAACTAATTATTATTTATTAACGAATTATTTTTTTATATTTCAAAATAGTTATGAATTAAAAATTAATCTCTAAATTTGAATTATTAAAAATGTTTACTAATTTGACTTAGTGAATGACTTTTTGCTTTTGATTTAGAAATTTTACTAATATATAGTAATTTTTACTAACTTAGTAGTAAAATTTACTAATAAATTAGTTTACTAATTTGAATTGTCAACTGACTTTTTGCTTTTCAATTTGTAAATTTTAGAAATAGTAATTTCTACTTTTGAATTAGTAAACTTTCCTAATTTAGAAGAAATTTCTATTTTTTTAGTCAAATTTACAAATTTAAAACTTAAAAGCAAAAAGTCAGTCTCTAATTAAAATTAGTAAACATTTGAAGAGAAAATTATAAAGTAATTAATTCTGCAATACGTAAGCTATATTATATTAATATTTTATAAATCTCGAAAAATAATAATATAATATAATAACTATATAATATGATAATATAATAGTATTATAATTTAACAATAGATTATAATAATAATATAAAATAATATAATTTAATATAATATAGCAATACCATATAATAATAATATTAATATTAAATGAAGAAAAATAATAATATAATGATAAAATTATATTATAATAAAATAATATTAGTAATAATAATAACAATAATAATAATTAAATAAATAATGTTAAGATCCGATTATAAAAGAATATAAGTCTGCCATTTTCGCAAACATAAAAGTGATCGATATAGTCTGGCGACACAATGAGACCAAGAAACTTAAATAAGTAAATTTATTAATAATAGAATTATTGTTCTTATAAAATGTATATCAGAATAAGATGGAAAAAACGCATCGTTCTATTACTTGCACTCTGTATATAATAAGAATTAATAAATAAGTTTATATGTGTGTATAATTATACATGTAAAATAACAAAATAATTAGCATTTACATGGGGGCTACGATAACTGATGTTTTAATTGTAGTATTTGCTTGGGAAAAAAAAACTATTCAAATATTTGTAAAAATAATTATTGAAAAAATGTTATTTTTTAATTAATTATCTGTGATTAATTACAATAATTATTTTTCAATTATTTTTTATTCATTTAACTTTTTTTATTTATTTATTTTTATCTATTTCTTTATTGTATTTTATTTGTACTTATTTATTTATTATTATTTATATTTATTTATTATAATTTTTTTTCTCAAATAGAAAATAGCATGGAATTTGCTTAAGTTATTTTTATTTATTTACTATAATTTATTTTTACTCATTTATTTTGTTGCAAAAAGAAAATAGCATGAATTTTGATTTATGTAATAGTTTTTTTTCTGAATTATTATTGCTGATAAGAGCAAAGTCTAAATAAATAAATAGCTACCAAGCAAAAAAAGTAAGAGAAGCGTCCCCCCACCGCGTAAAAACACGCTTCCCCATTGGGTGGAATGTCAAAGGGAGGGGATAAAGACTCGCATGGTGGGGGGAACGCTTCTCCCAGTCTAATGCGTCATTATTATAGCGAAAAATGACGAAAATAAAGTAATTTGAATGATTTTAATGAGAAAAACCCTTTATTAGTATGAATGTCTATAAAATGATAATTGAATCATTTTCAATAGAAGAATGTAAATTATTTCGTGCTTAATAATTCTTCCACGTATTTTATTTTATTTTTTTCTTTTGCGGCTAGTGATTGTGAATCTTAAATAGTAATGTGATTCTGTATTGCTGAAAAAATATTCTATCGCTGAACTCTGAAAGTTTAATAAAATGTTTTCACTAACAAAACATTCTACTCTTTATTTACCAAAAAAGGAATTCAAAAAAATTTTAATTTCATCATTTTAATTTTGAAATCACTTTAAAAAAAATTTGATAAGATCGTAAATTGTTTGGAAATCGAAAATTTATTTATATATTTATTATCTTTTTTCCGAATTTAAATAAAATTCTGTCGTCAATTTAAATTTGTAATTACGATTATTTATTACATTTTTAAATTTATTTGTTAATTGTAATTTTTTTTTAAAGAAAGTTATTAATCAGGATTATGTTGTCATCCGTGAACGATTAGTCTGATTATTAAATAACAAAACAATGCACACATTTTTAATGAGTTTTTTCAACTCTTGTAATAAATTAAACTTTGGACCCAGTTCTCTAAGAATTGAAGCGAATAAAAATTTTCGCTATAGAAATGAAAATTTTAATTCTTTAAGTACTTGTGATTAATAAAAATAATATAAAAGACATTTCATCTTTTCACTAAATCTTAAATAGCAATTTTTAAAAATTAATTATTTCTTTAATATTTTCCAATAATTAAAAGTGAAAAAAAATGTCTAATTAATCAAAATAGAAAAATGAATGTGAAGTGAGATTGTAATTATTATCAATGAATTGGACATTGTTTTTATTGAATCTTATCATTAACTAAAACAATTAATCTATCGCAGAGTAAAAACAATTTCTTAAAATTTTGCCAACTCATCATTGCAATTTTTTGACAGATTTTATTTAAATTTCAGATTCAATTTCAAAATTGTAAAAAAAATTCAAAATAAAGAGAAAATTGTTTACTTTATTTACAAAAACTGAACTTTATTTATATAAAAAAATATAATTTGCTACATAATTAAAAATATTCGATTGGTTTGATTTCTTTTGATTAGATAATAAAAATGGAGATAAAGTGAAAAAAAAAGATCTTCTTTATTCGCCCAGGGCATTCAATCAAAATCTCAATTTTTCCAATCACTTGAAAATCATTCATGTAATCATTCAGGTATTTATAAATTTCACTCTAAAGATTTTACATAACGAATTAAAAATTTAAAATAAAATACCAAATTGCTCAAAGTTTGAAAAAAAATTTAATTTTCAAAATAGTTTTCAAAAGAAAAAAGTGTTGATCGACGAAAAGAAGTATTCGATTGTTAGCGAAATTCACAACTGTAGTCAACAGTATTGAAAGGAAAAAATATTTTTCAATCCAAATTTTTGTTCCTGAAATTTCCTGAATTTATTGAAATTAATTTATTTCAAAGTGTACTTAATTTTCAGATTTTCTCTGCGAACAAAAAAAAAATCGAATGGCACTTGGAAAAATAAATTCAATCGCAATGGATTTCAAAATTATAGAATATTAATTTATTAAAATAAACAAAAAAAAAAAAAAAAAATAGTGAAATAAGAAAAAAAATCAAAAAGTGTTTTTTTTTAAAAAATGGCAATAATTTTTAGTACTCTCACATTAAAACTTTTAGGAGTGATATTCTTTATTTTAAGTGGTTTTTATATTTACTTCAAGTTCGTTTTATACACATATTGGCGAAAAAAAGGAATTCCCTATTTAGAGCCAGTGATTCCTGTGGGTAATTTTCTCAAACTTGTGCAAAAAAAATGTCACATTGGCGAAACATTTGCCTATGGCTATGAAAAAATGAAAGACAATAAAGTTTTTGGAATGTATACATTTCATAAGCCATGCCTATTAATTGTTGATCCAAATTTAATTCGTTGTGTTTTAACAAAAGAATTTCAAAGTTTTCACGATCGCGGTGTTTATTGTAATGAACGAGTTGATCCATTGTCGGGTAATTTATTTTTTCTACCCGGAAAAAAGTGGCGAAATCTCAGGACAAAAGTGAGTCCGGCAATAACGCCCGGGAAGATAAAATTAATGTTTTGCTGCTTAAAGGATCGTGGAATTATTTTAAATCAATTTTTACAAGAGAAAGCACACAGTGGATCTATTGTTGAGGTGCAGGAATTATTCGCAAGGTTCGTAATTTTTTATCACTAGATCAAAATTAACAAAATTAAATTAAAAAGTTAAAAAAAAATAAAATTAAAAAATTAAAAAAATAAATAAAAATAGAATTAAGTTTTTTTTTAATTTTTCCCTTAAATTATATTTAGAAAAATCGTAATTAAAAAATAATTAAAATTGAATTAAAAGAAATGGAATTGAAAGTTTTTTCTAATGGAGAGAAATTTTAATGTGGGAATTTTTTAATTACGCAATTCAATTAACATTTTTTTTTTCCTCATTATGTTAAAGGTTCACTACTGACGTGATAATGAACACAGTGTTTGGCGTGAATTGCAATACGTTGCAAAATAAAGATAATGAGTATCGCTATTGGGGAAAACAGGTTTTTGAACCGCACACATTTAAGAATGCAATTGGATTTTTCGCGCCACAAATTTTGCATTTCTTCTCGATACCATTCAATGATGTGGGAGTGCAAAAATTTTTTATAACAGTTTTTGAAAATACCGTTAAACATCGACTAAAAAATAATATTAAATGCAATGACTTCATGGATCTTATTATTCAATTAATGAAAAAAGGTCACGTGAATGATGACAATGATATGACTAATGGAAGCATTTCAGGTATTTCGAAGAAATAATTTAATTACATTAAAAGAAATTAAGCTAAATTTTTAGCAAAATTTTTCTTTATTTTTTACTACGGAAAATAAAATTTAGGCGACTTTTGAAAAACAGATAAAATTTTGATTTAAAAAAAAGTGGCCCCAAGGTGGCCACCATTCAAAGATTCACTGAAAAATTAAAAAAAAGTAGTTAATAGAAAAAAAAAATAGTTAATAATATAATAGAATTTGAAAATTTTCTAATTTAAATTTTTGTTGAAAACCCCAAAAAAATTCAATTTTGGAGAAATTACAAATAACTGCAGAAATTCAATTATTTAAAAAAAAAATAAAATTCTTATAAAGTTCAACTATGTAGAAAATTTAAAAAAAATTTTCGTAAAAATCCCAATTATCTTTATAAATAACAAAATTCTTCTTCAAAGTTCAATTATTTTCATAAATCTCAACAAAATTCTTGTCATAATTTCACTTATTTTCAAAAATAAAATGCATTTTTCTAATTTTAATGATTTGCAATATATACTTACAATTTTAATAAAATTTCCCAAAAAGAATTCAATTATTTAAAAAAAATTTTTAATAAAATTGTATGCAAACATTTAATTATTTTCATAAATAATAAAAATTTCCCAGGAATTCAATTATTTTCATAAATAATAAAGAATTTTTTTAAGGAATTCAATTATTATTTTTATATTATAATTTTCTTTTCAAATATTTTCAATTTTAAAATTAATGTATTGAAAGTCATCGAATTGTTGCAAAGAATATTATCAAAAAATTTAATGATAATGGAATTCCATCAAAGAATTTTATTATTTAGAAAAATAACTGAATTCTTGTAAAGAATTTTTATTAAAATTTAAAAAAATCCTAATTAAATTCTTTTGAAGAATTCAAAAATTTTCTTTGGATTTTTTTAAACTGATGGAGTTTCTTTAATAATTTTAAATTGAAAATTTTTGAAAGCAATTCAATTTTATGAAGAAGAATTTTATTAAAAGTGAATGGAAAATAATTGAATTCTTGCGAATAATTTTACTATTTTTAAAAATAGTTGAATTTTGTCGAAGAATTTATTAAAATTTTAGGACATAATTGAAATTTATGGAAATATTTAAAAATATTTGAATCCATCCGAAGAAATTAATTAAAATTGTTTTGAAAATAATTGAATTCCTTCAAAGGATTTTACTATTTATAAAAATAATTAAATTATTGCAATAAATTTTTTCTATTTGTAGAAATAATTAAAATGTTTCGAAGAATTTATTAAAATTTTAAGAAATAATTAAATTGTTATGAAAAATTTTATAGAAATATTTGAAAATAATGAAATATTTTCGAGAATTGCAATTAAAGTTGTTTCGAGAATGACGGAATTTTTTAAAAAGAATTTTATTAAAATTAAGTATATTCAAAATAATTGAATTCATCACAAGAATTTTATTATTTTTTTGATAATAATTGAATTCTTTCAATTTTTTTTTTTTTTTTTGACGAATGTATTTAAAAATTGCATTGAAAGTAATTTAATTTTTATCTAGAATTTTTTAAAAACATTTTTGAGAATAATTGAATTATATTTAGAGAATTTTTAAATTCTTGTTGAAATTGCATTTTATGGAAATTTTTGAAAATAATTAAATTCTTTCATGTGATTTTATTTTTAAATTTGATTAAAAATAATTTAATTCCTGCAAAGAATTTTTGTATTTATAAAAATAGTTGAATATTGTTTCGAAGAATTTATTAAAATTTTAAGATAAATAATTAAATTGTTATGAAGAATTTTATAGAAATATTTGAAAATAATTGAAATTTTTTCGAGAAATTCAATTAAAGTTATTTCGAAAATAATTGAATTTCTTTAACGAAATTTTATTAAAATTAAGTATATTCAAAATAATTGAATTCATCACAAGAATTTTATTATATTTTGATAATAATTGAATTCTTTCAATTTTTCCTTTTGACGAATGTATTTAAAAATTGCATTGAAAGTAATTTAATTTTTATCTAGAATTTTTTAAAAACATTTTTGAGAATAATTAAAATTTTAGAAAATAATTGAATTCTTTCGTGAAATTTAAAAAAGATTTTTGAAAATATGAACAGCAATAATGAATGAACATTCAAATTATTATATAGTTAATATTTTTCTTCGGAGTGCGGGAAAAATTTAATTAATATTTTAATTTTTAAATACATTAAACATTTAAACTTATTTTCAAAATATATGTTCAATGATTTTCTTTCTGTTTACTAAAATCGGTGATTTTTCTAGAAAATAATAATGAAAACATAACAATGGCCGAAGGAGCTGCTCAGGCCTATATTTTCTTTTTGGCCGGATTTGAAACTTCATCCACAACAGCAGCCTTTTGCCTTTATGAATTAGCTATTAATCAAGATATGCAGGAAAAAGTGAGAAAAGAAATTTTTTCCAAACTGGGAGAAAATGATGAACTTAGTTATGACAGTCTCAATGAAATGACCTACCTTCACAAAGTTATTTTAGGTACTTTTGTCTTCTTTTATATAAATAACAATACAGAATAACAAACAAATATTAATTTTAAATCAATTTCAAATTAATAATGCAATCACTAAAAATTATTAATTTTAAAATGATAGTAAATATTAATATTAGTTTAAATTAATTATTATAGAGTAAAGATTTTTTTTTAATTATTATAATAATTAATATTAATTAAGCTACAAGACCCAGTAGTCGATCACTATTTTGCGAATGATTCATAAACAAATAAATAATAATAGCTTAAATTAATTAAATAATTATAAAAAAAAACTTTTTTTTTTTTTTTTTTTTTTTTTTTTTTTTTATTAATTAATAATTATTTAATGAATAATGATAAATAATAATAATAAACTTGCAAATAAATTTTTGCTTTACAGAAACTTTGAGGAAATATCCACCGGTGTCTTTATTAAATCGCAAGTGCACTGAGACAATAAAATTGCCCGACACGGAAATAATTATTAATAAAGGCATTGACATTGTCATTCCAGTGCTTGGAATTCACAGGGATCCTAATATATATCCTAAACCAATGGAATTCGATCCCGAAAGATTTAATGAGGAAAATATCGCTGCTAGGCATCCCTATGAATTTTTACCTTTCGGCGAAGGACCGAGAATATGTATTGGTAATTATATTATTAAAAATTAATTACTAAATTATAATCAAAATATAATTTGAAGTTTGAACAAGAAATAAATAAATTTCGTTCAAAACTTTAGAATTAAAATTTTATATTTGTTCCGTTAATTTAATTTAATTTAATTTAATTTAATTTAATTTAATTTAATTTAATTTAATTAATTAAATAAATAAATAAATAAATAAATAAATAAATGATATTAGTAATAATGTTCTTTTATTAAAAAATGGGTGTTTTGCTATTTTTTCAGGAATGAAACTCGGATTAATTCAAGTAAAAGTAGCGATAATAAATTCATTAAGGAATTGTAGAGTTTTAGTAGGATCAAATACACCGATACCAATGCCAATTAACAATGAGAAAATGGCTTACGCACCAAAAGTAGGCGTTCATCTTAAAGTAGAAATGTTATGAAAAATCTGAATAGTTATAATACATGTGTACGTATAGAAAAGTCAGGAGCCTATTTGAATTTAATTTCAGTGAAAAAAAGAAAATTCTGCAGATTCTTTCGAATAAAATAAAAATTTTGTAACCAAGCTCTTTTTTGTATAATTTTTAATATTATTTTTTTTTAATAAGTATAATATAAAAGTAGAAGTTAGTTTTTGTGTATGCTTTCTTTTTCTTTAAAAAACATTGTTTGACAAATCGAAAATATGCAGGTATTTTTTCATGATTTATAATAAAATAATATTAGAAATTAGAAAATTAAAAAAAAATTCTGATTAACAAATAAAAAATATACACATTTTGTTTGTTATGTGCTTTTTTCTATAACAAATTTCGTTTGACTGATCTAAATTATTATACAAATTATTCTCCTTTTTATTCATAAAAAATTCTAGAAAATTGTTAATTGTTAAAAAATTTTGATTAAGAAGTAGAAAATATACCCATTTTATTTATAATTCATATTTCTCAATAACAATATTGTTTACAAACTTATTTTTTTCTTTTGCGAAGAAAAACATTAGAAATTCCCGTTTCTCAATATTTTTTGGAGAAAATTCCTAAATTTTCATAAGGATATAATTTGCATCAATTCTATTTCTTAATTTCAATTGTTTTAATAAAATTCAAAGCTTTTTAAAAATAAAGGAAAAAAATGTTTATAAATTATATTTGTCAATTAGAAAATTTAATTGAAAATGAAACTGAAAATTTTTGAATTTTTAGAAAATAAAGGAAAAAATTTTATTGAAAAAAATGTTCTGTTAAATTTATTTATACGAATATCTTTAATTGTAAAATTATTCGAAAACAATATTTTCTTTTTTAAATATTTTAAATATTTAATTATTATTATTATTATTATTTTTCCGTAGGAATTAAAATTCTTCAAAACATTAAAATTCAAACCTTTTTGAAATTAATGAACTTTAAAAATATTGTTTATTATTATAAAACATAAAGAAAACGATTACTCCAAGGCGAAGACTCGGAGTGATCGATTTCTTCATGTTTTAAAATGATTAAAGAGAATCGAGTATTAAAATCATTATTTTATATTATAAGAATATTGTTACTATAAATTCTTAAAAATTATTTTTATATTCTATTATTATATCTAATATTTAAACTAAAATTCATTTTCAAATCAATTTTTATTAGAGAACTCTACGAGAATTCAATTATTTAAATACAAAAGTAAATTATTTATTTAATGATAATTGAACGTTTCTAAAAATTTAATTATTATAAAGAATTTTATTAACAATCTTTTAAATAATTGAATTCTTTTGGCGAATTTTAATAAATTTTTTCAGAATAGTTACATTTTTCAAAGAATTTGATTAAAATTGTATTAAAAATAATTGAAATTTTACGATGAGTTTCATTATTTCTGAAAATAATTGAATTATTGAGAAGAAACTTTTAAAAAATTTGTAAATAATTGAATTCCTGATGTGAAATTTTTATTATTCATGAAAATAATGAAATGTTTGCGTACAATTTTATTAAAATTATTGTTTAATAATTGAATTCTTTTCGGTAATTTTATTAAAATAGTAGATATTCAAAATCATTGAAATGAGGAAAATTTTTGAAAATAATTGAAATTTTGACAAGAGTTTTTTTAAAAGTTTTGAAAATAATTGAATTTTTAAAAAAAAATTATTATTTACAAAGATAATTGAAATTTTGAAAAGAATTTTTTTTAAACTTTCGACCATAATTGAATTTTTGCGAAGAATTTTATTCCTTTTGAAAATAATTGAATTCTTGAGACGAATTTTAATATTTCTTTTTAAATAATTGAATTCTTTTGTGAAATTTTATTGAAATAGAAGACATTGAAAATAAATAAATTTTGCCAAATTTTTGAAATTAATTCAATTTCTACGAAGAATTTTATTAAAATTATTTTAAAAAAAAATTGAAAGAATTACATGAAATTTTTTGAAAATAATTTTTATTATTTATGAAAATAATGAAATGTTTGCGTACAATTTTTTTAAAATTGTTTTTAAATAATTGAATTCTTTTGGGTAATTTTATTAAAATACTAGATATTGAAAATCATTTAAATGAGGGAAATTTTTGAAAATAATTGAAATTTTGACAAGAGTTTTTTTAAAAGTTTTGAAAATAATTGAATTTTGAGGAAGAATTTTTTTATTTATAAAGATAATTGGGATAATTGGGATTTTGCAGAGATTTTCTTGTAAATTTTGAACATAAAATTGAATTTTGTGATAAGAATTTTATTACTTTTGAAAACAGTTGAATTTCTGCAATAATTTGTAACTTCTTCAAAATTTAATTTTTTTTTAGTGTTTTTAACTAAAATTCTTCTATAAATCCATTATTTTTAATAATTAGTTAAATATTTATTGAAAAATTTAACTAATTTTAGAAGATTTTGAATTATTAAAATTTTTCAAAAATCTAAGTTCATTAAAATTTCTAACAAAAAAGAAACAAAAATTCAAAATTTTCTTATGAATTCTAAAAATTTAATTTTTTCAATACTTTTAATAAAAATGCCTGACTTTCCCCTGAATTCCCTAAGTCAGAATATATGATAATTATAATTATTATTATCAAATATAAATTTAATAATTTTCAATATGATGTAACTGAAAGAGAATTAAATTGCAAGCAACAATGACTTGCTTACTACTGAAATTACCCAGTCTTTAAATTAAATATAATGTACAAAAGTTACATTATACCCCAATTTTGTAATTATAAAAAATAATTAACGTATAGATAGAAAATAAATAACGTAAATAGAAAATTAAATTAAAAAATACTCCTTCCAATATAAATAAGGTAATAAATTCTCTCTAATTCACAAAAAATAATAAATAAAATTAATTCACATTACACTATATTCAAATCATAAATTAATTTCAACTCAACGTTGTACGTATGCCGTTTAATGACGAAAAATTTTTAAGAAAAAGTCATGATGAAGTGAAATTAATTTTTGCACTGTCAATGCTGCTAAGAAGTACACTTAACATAATTGCATGTCTATTCACTATAATTAAATATTCAATTAGTAATTCAAAATGAAATCTATAAAAGTTCAAGACAATCAAATTCACTGTCATTTTGCAAAGTTTCTTCATTCATTCACTAAAAACAAAAATCAAAAAAAAATATTCAAAAATGGCAATTTTTTCTATTTATATTGTAATGCAACTCGTGGGTGGATTATTTTTGGCTTTGGGTGCCTTATATTTGTATTTTAAACTCGTTTTGTATAACTATTGGCGAAAACACAATGTTCCCTATTTGGAGCCATCGGTACCTATGGGAAATCTCGCTCCAGTTGTTACCGGAAAAATAAACTTGGGTGAGTCAATGCATGTAAATTATAATTTATAATTTTGAATGGAATATATGATAAGGACGAACTATATTTTTCATTTTTTTTTTCATTAAACTAAATTTTCTTGTCTCAATTAATTTTTTTTTCTTTCTCATTTTATTTGGTAAATTTGCAAGAGAAGTTAATAAGTCAATGTATATTAACTAACTAAATTATGAACTAAAGTATAATAAAAAAAGCTTCAATAGAATTTTACTGTTAGGTAGAAATTTGCACAACTATTTTTTTAATAAATAAATTAATATCTATTAATTAATTTTAATTTAATTAAAATTAATAATAATTAGTGCAATATTTCATTATAATATTAATAATAATTAGTATAGTTTTTAATTAATATTAATAATAGTTAATATAATATTAATATATTGTTAGTACAATTTTTCTTTTTTGAATTTCGCGCCAAATTGTTCGTAAAATTGCCGCCTAGATGGCATGAAAGTTCTCTCACAAACGAAATGGAGTGAATTTTTTCGAACGTTCATATGAATAAAAATTTGTTTCCCTTTCATTATTTTTCAAAAATCCGATACTAGAATAAAACATAATTTAAGAAAAACTTTATTTAGTTGAAAATTAATTTCTTTAATACAAATTTTTTTTAAATTCGTTTGTATTTTAAATTAATAGAAATAATTAAAAAAAATTTTAGGTTTCTGTTATCAAGACGCCTATGAGAAATTCAAGAAAAATCGAATATTCGGAATGTACACATTTCACAAACCTAGTTTAGTTGTTGTTGATCTTGACATTGTCCGCACAATATTGACCAAAGAATTCGGCCACTTCCATGATCGTGGATTGTATTGTCACGAAAAAGTGGATCCACTCACTGGTCACATTTTCTCTCTGCCTGGACAAAAATGGAGAAATTTACGTGTTAAAATGACGCCAACATTTACATCAGGAAAAATGAAACAAATGTTTGATGCCGTTAAGCATAGAGGGGAAATTTTGAATAAAGTTTTGAATACCAAATCACAAGATAATGCAGTTTTTGAAATCAAAGACATTTTCGCAAGGTAGATTTTTTTAATTTTTAGCTTCTATTTTCTTTTCTTTCGTATCTCTAAATTTTCAATTTCAATTCTTTCTTAGAGAAAGAAACTTATTATTCAATTAAATTTTTTCTGTTTTTTGAATTTCGCGCCAAGTTAGTTCATTAAATACCCGCCTAGACGGCATGAAAGTTCTCTCACAAACGACGTGCGAAGTGAAAAGAGTACTTATGGTGATGATATAAAGTCGTTTCTTTTCAATTGTAAAGTGAATAATATGAATAAAAAATTAATTGCCAACAATTCTTATTAATAAATAAATAAAAAATATAAATACATAAAAAATATAAATAAAACAAAAAAAACGTTTAATAAAATTTAACAGAAAAAAATTAATAGAACATTTTTCGACTGGATTCGCATTAAAAATTCTTTTTCAGATTCGCCACGGACGTGATAATGAGCACATCGTTCGGAGTAAATTGCGACAGTTTAACAAATCCCGATTGTGAATTTCGCTATTGGGGTAAAAGAATTTTTGATCCTGCACCAGTGAAAAATACACTCTCCTTCTTTGCGCCACACGTCCTCTATTTTCTCAATGTTCCATTTTTTGCAATGGATGTGAGAAAATTTTTCATGTCTGTCTTTAAAAAAAATACCGAATATCGTACAAAGCACAATGAGAGGAGAAAGGATTTTATGGATCTTTTGGTGCAATTGATGAATAAGGGATGCGTTGAGGGAGATGAGGGTCAACCAGCTAGTATTTCAGGTAAACAAAAAAAGTTGTTTCTTTTTTTAATTACTTTTTGTCAAAAAATGCTTTTTTTTCTTTCGATTTTAGAATCAGCTGATGGTAAAATAACACTGGAGGAAGCAGCTGCTCAGGCTTTTGTATTTTATCTTGCTGGTTTTGAAACATCATCGACAACAGCGACAAATTGTATTTATGAATTGGCTCAATATCAGGAATTACAGAATAAAGTTCGTCAAGAGATTCATTGCAAGTTGAAAGAATATGGGGAACTTACTTATGAATGTCTTAACGATATGCCGTATCTCGATAAAGTTGTCAGTGGTAAGCATTTCTTTTTTCGTCAATTGGAATGATAATAAATTTTTGAACTGTTTCTGTTCAAAAATTTATTATGACAATTTTCAAACAACAAAAAGACTGTTGAGAAAGCATCAAATTGCAGCGAATTTGTATCAAAAAATGTGGATCAAAACATGGATCCTTTTTGGTATTCGATCCGATTTGGTAACAATTTGATACTTTCAAGAGTACTCAACTATTTTTATAAACAGAACATTGGAAGAAACTTGAACTACTCAGATTTATCAGATTGCAGCGAATTGATGGCAAAAATTTGGATCATGATTGGATCCAAATTTTTGGTATCAATTCGATCCGATTTGGTACGAATTTTATACTTTCAAGAATATTAAACTATTTCATAAATACGACTTTGGATTCTTTGGAACAAAACTTGAAATAAGAATTTAGATTCTAACTACAGATTTTTCTGCAACTGCGAAAATGATAAACTTCCGAAAAAATTGTACAAAAAAAAATGTTTTTTGTTGGAAAGAAACTTTAAGGATACATCCACCAGTGGCAATTCTAAATCGAGTCTGCACTAAGGATATTGATCTACCTACTACCAATTTGCATATAAGCAAAGGAGTAGATGTAGTAATTCCAGTTCTTGCTATTCAAAGGGATCCAAACATTTATCCGGATCCGATGAAATTCGATCCCGAAAGATTTAACGAAAAAAATGTGGCCAATCGACATCCATATGCTTATTTGCCTTTTGGAGAGGGCCCAAGAATTTGCATCGGTATGTTGACTCTTACAAAAATATTTATCTAAAATTCCAAATTTAAATTATTAAATTTCAAAGTTAGGTTCAAAACAAAAATACAAATATAATATATATATTTGCAAACATTGGGAAATTAATATATTAAATTAAGATGAAATTTTCCAACAGGAATGAGATTCGGTTTGGCGCAAACAAAAGTCGCTTTAATTAATGCACTGAAAGACTATCGTTACACTTTGGGACCAAATCAAAAAGTACCATATCATGTTGATCCAGGAAGTCTTGTTTTTGGAGCAGACACTCTCGAAGTACGAGTTGAAAAAGTGTGAATAAGGACGAAAATCAAATTTTTAATGGATATTCCTAAAGATTTAATATTTATTCAATATTTAATAATAGCACTATTTATTATTTATTTAATAATTATTTATTATTAAACATTTAATATTTATCGGAAATAAAGAAAAATAAATTTGCTGCAAATTCTCCATTTACTCCAACTTTCGTTTTTTTTCGTTTACATTCTTTTCAAATTTTCTAATCGTATTTTATTTTAAAGTCTAATAACTGTATCGTTATTAAAAGTTTATTATAGAGTTGAAAAGTTGAAATTACTTGAAAATAAACTTAAAAAGAAGTAAAAGTAAAAAACTGTAAAAATAATAATGTGGACAAAATAAAAAGGTAAAAAGAAGAACAATAAAAAAATTAATAATTCTACTCGTATGTCTAATAACTAAAATTATATTTCGAACTAAAATAGTACTTTTTAATTATAAATGACACATTTTCGTGCTTAAATAAAAGATTAATAATTAAAACACTAATTATGTTATTAAGAGCCTAATACTAACACCTCCCACTACAATTTTTTTTCTTAAATTACTTTGACAATATAACTTATGCCTAAAAGTTCGTTTCCATCTAATGGCATAACGACTGATATATAAACTGAAGTCACGAACGTTTGGAATGCGGAGTTTTTATTTTCAATTAAACTCAAAAATTATCTTTTTAATTTGCCACATCACATGAATTAATAATAGTGCCGTTACTGTGTGTTATTAGAAATCTTTTTTTTTCTCATAACCTTTCGTGAAATAATAAATTTAATAAAGAATTTAGTATTTTTCTAATTTTTAAATAAATTTAAAAATGTTACCTTCTTTTTAGTAAATGAATAAAAATAAATTTAAATAATTTTTTGAAAATCGAGAGAAATAATTATTGTAATAAAATTAAACGAATATGGCAATAAGTTTGAGTAATTTTGTTCTGGAATTTTTTGGAGTTGTGACAGTAGTGCTCCTTGGTGTTTACTTGTATTTTAAATTATTTATTTACAATTATTGGGAAAAAAATGGAGTCCAATATATAAAACCCATAGTGCCAGTTGGGAATATTTTGAACGCCGTTATTGGAAAACAGCACATTGGTATTTATTGCAACATAAATTATTAGAATAATATCAAATAATAACAAAAAAAATTAAAAAAAAAACAGGGAACATAAATAAAGAAAAGGAATAATTAACATCAGAATGAAAAGAGTTAGAGAAATAATTAAAAATATTAGAACAAAAAAATAATAAAAATCACAGGGCTCGAACCAGTGAAAGTATAAATTAAAAAATTGAATTCAATTTTTTAAAAAAAATTAATTTGAAAATTCAATTATTTTTAAAAATTCTCGCTATATTGCTTTTAATATTCAATTATTATTTTAAATTTTAACTGAAATTAATTTTTAAATTAATTTTCATTAGAAAATTCTACTAGAATTCAATTATTTAAATACAAATTTAAATGCAAAAATGCAAATAAATAATTTATTGAATAATTGAACGTTTCTTAAAATTCAATTCCCATAAAGAATCGTTATTAATAAATTTTCAAATAATTGAATTATATTAACGAATTTTAATAAAATTTTAAGGAATAATTACATTTTTTGAGAAATTTGATTAAAATTGTATTAAAAATAATTGAAATTCTGCGATTAGTTTTATTATTTGTGATTTGTGACAATATATAATAAATAATAAATATATAATAATATATAATATATATAATATATATAATATATAATATATATAATATAATATATAATAATAATAAAATTTTTAATAATAATTACATTTTCCGAGAAATTCGATTAAAATTGTTTTAAAAATAATTGAAATTCTGTTATGATTTTTATGATTTATGAAAATAAATCTCATGAAAACAGTTGAATTTCTGCAATAATTTGTAACTTCTTCAAAATTAAATTTTTTTTTAGTGTTTCAACTAAAAATTATTTATAAATCCATTATTTTTAATAATTTTAAAAAAATTTTCTTGAGAATTTTCAAATTTATTTCCTTTTAACTGAAATTAATTTTTAAATCAATTTTTATTAGAAAATTATACTAGAATTCAATTATTTAAGTACAAATAATTTTGAAGATTTAATTTAATTCTTGAAAATAATTGAATTTTTGTTAAGAATTTTATTACTTATAAAAATAATTGAATTTTTCTAAAGAAATTTATCAAAATTCTTGAAAAGAATTGAATTTTTGCTAAGAATTTTATTATTTATAAAAACAATTGAGTTTTTGTGAAGAATTTTGAGAAACTATAAAAAAAACGAGAAAGTATCAAAAAACATACAAAAAAAAAAAAAAATAAATAAATTTTTGAACTTTATTAAAATTCTTGAAAATTATCGAATGTTTGCTAAGAATTTAATTATTTATAAAAATAATTAAATTTTTGTGCAGAATTTTATTAAAATTCTTGAAAATAATTAAGTTTTTGCGAAGAATTTTATTAAAATTCTTAAAAAGAATTAAAATTTTGCTAAGAATTTTATTACTTATAAAAATAATTGAATTTTTCTAAAGAAATTTATCAAAATTCTTGAAAAGAATTGAATTTTTGATAAGAATTTTATTATTTATAAAAAGTAAAAACAATTGAATTTTTGTGAAGAATTTTATTAAAATTCTTGAAAAGAATTGAATTTTTGCTAAGAATTTTATTATTTATAAAAACAATGGAGTTTTTGTGAAGAATTTTGAGAAAGTATAAAAAAACGAGAAAGTATCAAAAAACACAAAAAAAAAAAAAATAAATAAATTTTTGAACTTTATTAAAATTCTTGAAAATTATAGAATGTTTGCTAAGAATTTAATTATTTATAAAAATAATTAAATTTTTGTGCAGAATTTTATTAAAATTCTTGAAAATAATTAAATTTTTGCGAAGAATTTTTTTAAAAAATTGTAAGAATAATTTTATTTTTAGATAAATTTGATTAAAATTGAATTAAAAATAATTGAAATTCTACAATGAGTTTTATTATTTATGAAAATAATTTAATTCCTAAAAAGAATCCTAAAAAGAAATAAAAATTTTTACGAAAATACTTGTAAAAATTTTATTATTTATGAAAATAATTGAATTATTGCGAAGAAATTTATAAAAAATTTGCAAATAATTGAATTCCTGTGAAATTTTTTTATTAATTTATGAAAATAATTAAATTTTTACGTAGAATATTATTAAATTTTTTTCTAAATAATTGAATTCTTTTGGAAAATTTTATTAAAATATTAGATATTTAAAATCATTTATGACTTGAGGACAATTTTTGAAAAAAATTGAAAGTTTGCAAAGAGTTTTATTAAAATTTTTGAAAAAAATTGTTTTTCAGAGAAGAATTGTATTATTTCTAAAGATAATTAAAATTTTGACGAGATTTTTTAAAAATTTCTAAACAGAATTGAATTTTTACGAAGAATTTTATTACTTTTGAAAATAATTGAATTTCTGCAATCATTTATAATTTCTCTAAAATTTCCCACATTATGTCGTACAATTTACATACGAACTATTCGTCCTTTTTTAATCAAATTACGGACTTTATGAACCTTTTTTTAGAAAAAAAACCAACTTTTACGGATTTCTAGCAAAGTTACAGACTTTTACGGGATTTACGGACCTAGTTCGAGCCCTGAAATAATTATGATTAAATAGAATAAAAAATAAAAAGTAAATAAATAAAATAATTAAAAAACTATTAATAAAAAACATTAAAATAAAGGAAGAAGAAAAAAATGATAATAAACATTAGAATAAAGTAGAATAAAAAAACAATTAAAAAATGTAGAGTCAAAGAAAATAATGATAAAAAATAAAGAAAAAATAGAATAAAAATAATAATAAATATTGGAATATTTTTTAAATTATTAATATTTTTTTTGTATTTCAGGTGTTTTTTTCGAAAATGCCTACGAGAAAATGAAGAAATATCGATATGGTGGACTTTATACATTTCACAAACCATGTTTAATGATAGCCGATCTTGATTTAGTAAAAATGGTCTTAACAGAAAAATTCCAACATTTTCACGATCGTGGACTTTATTGTAATGAAACAGTTGACCCTCTCTCGGGACATATTTTTTTTCTATCGGGACAAAAATGGGAAAATTTACGTGCAAAATTGACACCAATTTTCACTTCGGAAAAATTGGAAGGAATGTTTGGTATTTTTAAAGAAAAAAGTGATCATTTGTGTTTTACTTTAGAGAGTCACAAGCAGAAAATTATTGAAGTCAAAGATATAATGGCACGGTAACTATAAATTATTTCTCTAAAAAAATTTTATTAAATAAAATAAAAATAAATAATAAAGAAATAAATTTTAAACAAACAACTTGTATAATAAATAATAAAAAAAAATTTTTTTAGATACACAACTGATGTGATTTTTACAACAGCATTCGGTGCAAATCCAAATAGTCTTGACAATCCAAAAAGTAAATTTCGCTACTATGGGAAAAAATTATTTGAATTAAGTTCAACAAAAACTGCCCTTGCATTTTATGCACCTAGTATTATGGATTTTCTCAAAATTCCCCTAAACGATAGAAGTTGTAGTGAATTTTTCATGAGAATTTTCACTGAAACATTTGAACATAGAGTCAAGAATAATATAAGAAGAAAGGATTTCTTGGGTTATTTAATACAACTTGTTAATTATGGACATTTAGAAGAAGTTGATGCAGAAACATCGAAAATAGCGGGTAAATTTATTATTTATTTTTCGAAATATAAAGAAAAATAATTTTCAAAAATAATAATAAAAAGGAATAATTATTAAAATTTCCTCTCAATTGATGTTGAAATTTATTTTCAGATTCTTTGGACGGTAAAATAACATTTATGGAAGCTGCGGCGCAAGCTTTTCTTTACTTTGTAGGCGGTTTTGAAACTTCATCGGCAACAATTTCCCATTGTTTATACGAATTGTCTGTTCATCAGGAAATACAAGAAAAAGTTCGCGAGGAAATTAAATTTGCCTTGGAGAAACATGGGGAACTCAGTTATGATAGTTTGAATAGTATGCCGTATCTTCATCAATGTGTTTCTGGTAATTTACAAAAAAAAACAAAAAAACAAGAAAATATAAATCAGGAATTATTCAATTTAAAAAATTTTTGTATAATTATTAAACAATCAGGAAAAAGTTGTGTTTGAATCAAATTTTGTTGAATAAGCCTTATTTTTGAGCTATAAATAAATTTTGTTTAAATAAAAAAAAATTTAATTCAAATACTTAATTTTATTATTAATTTAATTTAAATTAAATATTTAATTTAATTAACCAGTTCAGTTTGAAAATTTTTTATTTTTCCAATTTAGAAACTATGAGACTGTATCCAGGACTGACTTTTTTTAATCGAAAGTGCACGAAAGACATCGATTTACCAACAACTAATTTACATGTGAAAAAGGGTGTCGACGTTGTGATTCCTGTTTTGGGAATTCATTTGGATCCGGAAATTTATCCCGACCCTTTGAAATTTGATCCCGAAAGATTTACTCCAGAAAATATTGCCGCTAGACATTCATACGCTTATTTACCCTTTGGCGAAGGTCCAAGAATTTGCATTGGTAACGTTTAATTTTTAGTAATTTTACAATTAATTTTAGATTACATTTTACTAGTTAATATCAACTGTAAAGTATTTTATTATTAAATAAATTAATAATATATTTACACAATTTTTTTGGCACAAATAAAAAATATTTTTTGCACAAATAAAATTTATTTGAACCAAAGAAAATTTTTATTTGAAACAAATAAAATTTATTTGAACCAAACAAAATTTATTTAATCTGAATAAAATTTATTTAAAACAAAAAAAACCTAACAGTTTCTTGGCGCAAATAATTAATAAAATTTATTTGTAACTAAAAAGATTGTTATTTGAACCGAATAAAATTTATTTGAGCCAAATAACAACATTTTTATTTCAACTAAATTAAAAATTGTTACTTTAACCAAATAAAATTTATTTGAATCAAATAAAATTGTTTTTTGGTGCAAATAAAATTTATTTGAACCAAATAAAAAAATTTTTATTTCAACTAAATTAAAAATTGTTACTTCAACTAAATAAAATTTATTTGAATCAAATAAAATGGTTTTTTTAGAAATAAATTTAAATTTATTTGAAACAAATAATAATTCCTTGACGAAAATAAAATTTACAATTAAAACGTCTTTTGGTATGAATAAAATTTTTATATATAAATTTATTTCAAATAACTTTTTTTGTTATTTACTAATGTGAAGAGAATTATTTAATAACAATTGGTTAATTTTTTTCAGGAATGAAATTTGGTTACACTCAGACAAAAGTAGCCTTGGTCAATGTTTTGAATAAATTTCAAGTGACTTTGGGACCAAATACTCCAGTGCCACTTGTAATTAATCCAAAGTCCATTGTCACGTATTCATCGAAGGAAATTAATTTGCGCTTTGAGCGATTGTAAATATAATAATTTTAAAAAATTATATTTAAATAAAAAATGTCAAAAATCCAAAAAAGTAAAATTTCAAAGTAAAGATAAAAATTTAAAATAATAAATGTATTACAGAAAGTGAAAGTGAAAGTAAAATTAAAAACTAAAAAGTATCAAATAATAAAGACTGTACAAATAAAAAATACAAAAAGAAAAATTAAAAACTAAAAAATAGCAAATAATAAAGACTGTAAAAATAAAAAATGCAAAAAGTAAATAATAGCAATAATAGTAGCAAATAATAAAGACTATAAAAAATACAAAAAGTAAAATTAAAAACTAAAAAGTAGCAAATAATAAAGACTGTAAAAAATGCAAAATGTGAAAAATAAAAAAAAGTTTAATATTTATAACCAAAATAGTTATTCTTAAATTATTTTCGCGCCTTAAATGAAAAATTTATAAATCCAAGCGTATAAAACACTATTTATTCGTAGTTTTACTTGAAAGAAAAAAAAATCTGAGGTCACACGAAAGAAATAAGAATGATAATAAAAAAAAATGTTATGCAAAAAGGACATAATTCTTTGATAAATAGGTACTTATTACTTAATAATTGTGCAAATCAGTCCATATTACATCGATTCATGAAATGCTGAGTTCATAAAGAATAGAAACTGTAAACATGTAATTAAAATCAGGAGCGATACAATTGATCTTGGTACCCTAATACTTACACCGCCTCTCCCACTACTCACTCTTTTCTTAAATTACTTTTATAATATAACTTACTTAACAGTGCGTTTCCATCGCTTGGCGTTGACTTATCATCACTTATATATAAACTTGAGTCACGATCGCTTGAAATGCGCAGTTTTTATTTTCAATTTTACTTAAAAATTTTCTTTCTAATTTGTCACATCACTTGAAGTAATAGTAGTGCCATTACTGCGTGTGTTATTAGAGAAATTTTTTTTCAAAACCATTTCGTGTTATTAAACGCTAATTTTAGTTTGATTTTCATCGTCTAATGTCAATACAATATTTTTGTAAAAATAACCAAAATCATGAAAGAAAAAGAAATAATTAATTTACAGATACTTTAGTATTTTTTCAATTCCTGCTCGTAAATAAATAAATAAATAAATTTAAAAAATGGTCACTTTTTTAATAATTAAAATTAAATAAGTCATAAAAAAATTTGAATTTTTTGAAAGAAATAAATTATTTTACGAAAGAAATAATTATTTTAATAAAAATAGACGAATATGGCAATAATTATGAGTAATTTTGTTCTGGAATTTTTTGGAGTCGTGGCAGTAGTGCGCTCCTTGGTGTTTACTTGTATTTTAAATTATTTATTTACAATTATTGGGAAAAAAATGGAGTCCAATATATAAAACCCATAGTGCCAGTTGGGAATATTTGGAATGCCGTTACTGGAAAAGAACACCTTGGTATTTATTGCATCATAAATGAGAATAACAAGTAATATAACAAAAAAATAATAAAAAAGGAAAAAAAAGAAAAAATAATTAACAGCAAAATAAAAAGAATATTAAAACATTATTTGAAATATTAGAATGAAAATAGACAAAAATTTTAGAATAAAAAATAATTTGGTATTTAAAATAAATATAAAAGAATAATAAATAATAACAAAAAGTAAATAAATATTTTTAAAAAAGAAAAAAAATTATAAATAAACATCAAAATAAGAAGAGTAATAATCAAATAAAAAAATAATTAAAAATATTAGAATAAAAAATGACAAAAAGTGCTAGAATAAAAAATAACAAAAATTTGTAGAATATAAAATGACAAAAAATGATAGAATAAAAAATAATTTACTATTTATTGCATTAAAAATATATGAAAATAATAAAAAAAAAATAATAAATATTCAAAAAAGGAAAAAAATGATAAAACATCAAAATAAAAAACATCAAAAAATAAAAAAAGTACCTATAATAAAATAATAATTAGAAATATAAGAATAAAAAATGACAAAAAATGTTAAAATAAAGAAAAACAAAAAATATTAGGATGAAAAATAACAAAGAATAATATTAAAAAATATTGTGAAAAATAAGAAAAAATAGAATAAGTAAAAAATAATAATAAACATTAGAATAAAGAAATAAAAGAAAAATAATAAAAAATACGTGCGTTCACGTAACTTTCACTTTCGATTTCACGCAAAAAATTTTCATTCTCAATTTATCCAAAAAAAGTTTTCACTTTCATGCAAAAAAAAAATTTTCACATTAAATTACACTTAAAATATTTTCAGTTTTAACAAAAAAATTTTCACTTTCACTTAAAAAGTTTTTACCTCCATTAAAAAAATTTTCACTTTCAATTTCGCCAAAAAAACATTTAATTTTCAATTAAAAAATTTTTGATGAAATTTGAAGTGGACATTTTTTTTTATAGAAAATGAAAATATTTTTGGTGAAAATGAAAGTAAAAAGTTTTTGATTAAAAATGAAAATATTTTTTGTGAAATATTGACAGTAAAAATTTATATTGTCGAAATTGAAATTAAGAATCTTTTAGAAGAAAGTGAAATTTTTTTGGGTGAAATTATAAGTGAAAATTTTTTCATAGAAAGTGAAATTATTTTGGGTGAAATTGAAAGTAAAAATTTATTGGCAAAATTGAAATTAAAAATGTTTTGGAAGTGAAAATTCTTTGGGTGAAATTGTAAATGAAAATTTTTTAATTGACAGTAATAGAGAAAATTTGTTGGGTTTCACTAAACTTAATTTATTTCTATTTATTTTATTTATTTATTTATTTTTTTTTTATATTAATATTATATAATATTATATAAATAAATATTTATTATATTTATTAATATTTATTATAAATATTTTTCACAGTAAATATTTTTCTAACTCTATAAAATTCATAATTATTATTTTTATTATTTATTTTCATTATTATTATTAATTATATGTTTTACTTTTTTATTTGTTTTTATTTTACTTTTTTATTTTTTTTTTGTGTAATCTTCTTTTATTTTAATCTATTTTTTTGTTTTAATTCTAATTACAAATTTTTAGTTAATTTAAAATCAATTCAAATTTCAATGCAAAATTGAAAAGAATTAGAGTTTTGATTTAGAAATTAATTTAATTAATTTTCCATTCAAATTTTGCTTTTTTTTATTTTGCATGTATTCAAATTTAAATGGAATTTAAATTAATTTAAAATTTAAAAGTAAAATAAATCAATTCGTTTTATCACCAGTTTGTATATATCTAAATAAATAATTTTCTATTCAAATTTAAATTAGATTTAGATTTATTTAAAGTTTAAAAGTAAAATAAAAATAAAAGATTAAGTAGATTAAAAAATGGTATAAGATAAAAATAAAAGAAGTAAAATAAAAAATAATAAAATAGAAATAAAATAAAAAAGGTGAAATAAAAATAGTAAAATAAATATAAGAAATAAAAATTTTAAATTAATTTTAAATTACAACTCTCGTTTTAATTTTTCAGAAAGAATTTTTTACTGAATTGGCGAATTCCATTTTTCTGAACGAAAAGTTTTGAAATTATTTTCTAAAAATACTTTTTATTATACATTACGTAATAGAGTATAGTAAAAATTTAAATCACCAATTAATAATATATATTTTTTTATATAGATACGCAACTGATGTCATCTTTACAACAGCCTTCGGAGTGAATCCAAATAGCCTTGATAATACAAAAAGTGAATTTCGTCACTAAGCGAAAAAAATACTTGAAGTAAGTTCAATTAAAGGTGCCCTCGCCTTTTTTTGGACCAAGTATTATGGATTTACTCAAAATTCCTCTGATTGAAAGAAGTAGTAGTGAATTTTTCATAAAAGTTTTCACAGAAACATTCGAATACCTATAGAGTGAAAAATAATATAAGAAGAAAGGATTTCTTGGATCTTTTAATACAACTTGTCAATAGTGGTCGTTTAGAGGAGAATGATGCAGAATCAACAAATATATCCGGTAAATTTTGTTATTTAATTAAAAGGGGATTTAACCCCTTCGCAGTCTAGTTGAAAATCGCTTGTGGTCCAAAAACGGTCCGAAAAAAAAGTTTACAAAAAAATATGATTTAATCATATATAAGGTTTTTGGGGTCGCTGAATTCGAATTTGAGGTTAATTTTTGAAAATTCAAAATGGCGGATCCAATATGGCGACCAAATATGGTGGATAATTTTAAAATTAAAGCGTTTTAAGGGAAATTCATTTCTCGGGGGTTTTCGAGGTCGCTGAATCCAAATCTGAAGTCAGATTTAAAAAATTCAAAATGGCGGACCCAAAATGTCGACTTCAAAAAAAAATTTTTTTTCAGATTCCCTTAAAACTCGTTACTCGGGGGTTTTCGGGGTCTCTAATTACAAATATGATGTCAGATTTTCAAAATTCAAAATGGCGGATCCAATATGGCGGATGATTTCAAGATTGATGCGAAAAAAATATGAAGTTACCTCAAAAACCCCTGAGTAAACATTTTAGACAAATTTGTCAACATTCAAAAAATTTGATCGACATATTGAATCCAAAATTTAGCATTTAGAAAAACGAACATCAAATTCGAATTCAGCGACCCCAAAAAACCCCGGGAACGGAATTTCGATCAAAACGCATAAATTTTGAAATTATCCGCCATATTGGATCCAACATTTTGAATTTTGTAAAACGAACATCAAATTCAAATTCAGCGACCCCAAAAACCCCCGAGAAACGAATTTTAATCGAATCGCATCAATCTTGAAATTATCCGCCATATTGGATCCGCCATTTTGAATTTTAAAAATCTGACATCATATTTGTAATCAGAGACCCCGAAAACCCCCCAAGTAACGAGTTTAAAGCGAATTTGAAATTTTTTTATTTTTCGAAGTCAACATTTTGGGTCCGCCATTTTGAATTTTTTAAATCTGACTTCAGATTCGGATTCAGCGACCCCAAAAACAGTAGTATGTACTTCGCTACTAAAATCAAATCATGTTTAGTATTTTTTTTTTGAGATGGCCATATATGGCCACAGACGCAAAGGTGGCACGACTTTTCGTGGCCATATATGGGCCATGGACTGTTAAGGGGTTAAAACAATTATAAAATTTATAAATTAAAAAAATAATTAAATTAAAAAAAATTATTAAATTAAATAAAAACTAACAGAAAATTTCCACCCCATTGTTAATTAAACAATGAGGTGGTCTTCTTTTTGAAATTTAATGCAAATTTACTATTTTTTAAAATTATTTAAAAAAATTTAATTATATTCAAAAAATTTTAATTACCATTTTAAAAAATCATAACTAAAATTGAATTTATATAAATTTATTTCCAGATTCTTTGGACGGTAAAATAACATTTATGGAATATGCGGCGCAAGCTTTTGTTTTCTTTTTAGGCGGTTATTTCAATCAAAAAAAATTTACTTGAAATAAACAAAATTTATTTGAACCAAAAAATATTTTTATTTGCACCGAATAAAATTTATTTAAACCAAGAACAAAATTTGTTTAATCTGAATAAAATTTAATGGAAACAAGTAAAAATTTCTTAGTGCAAATAAAATTTTTATTTCTATCCAATAAAATTTATTTTAAACCAAGTAAAACTTTTATTTGAATGAAATAACATTTTTATTTGAATAAAATAAGAATTATTTGAACCACAAATTAAGTTTATTTGAATCGAATAAAGTTTATTTCAAACAAATAAAACTTCTTTGGTGCAAATAAAATTTTTTCGCGAATTAAAAAAATAATGTTACTTCAATGAAAGAAAATTTACTTAAAAATAAACCAAATTTATTTGAACCAAAACATATTTTTAATTTGAACCGAATAAAATTTATTTAAACTAAATAAAATTTATTAGAAACAACTAAAACTTTCTTGGTGCAAATAAAATTTATTTTTAAACTAAATAAAGTTTATATGAACCAAACAACATTTGTTTGATCTGAATAAAATTTATTATAGAAAAAAGAATAAAATAATAAATTTTATAATAATCGAATATTTAATTTTACATAAAAATTGTAGGTAATTAAAAATATTTATTATAATTTTTAAGAGCTTTTTTTATATTTTAAAATTATTTTTTCAGAAACTATGAGACTTTATCCGCAGCATTGGCAATTTTAAATCGTATTCGCACGAAGGACATTGATTTACCAACAACAAATTTACATGTGAGAAAGGGTGTTGACATTGTGATTCCTGTTTTGGGAATTTTGATCCTGAAAGATTTACTCCAGAAAATATTGCCGCTAGACATTGAAGCGATACAATCTCATGAGAGATTGACTCCTGGAAAATGTTACCGGTCCGACTTCAAAGTATTTCCAAAATTTAATTATTTTCGTGTTCTCAATATTCGGCTAAGAGTGGGGCTTGGCGGGTTGAATCGCGGGGTCGATGAAAAGTGCGATTGATTAATTTATTAATTGACTTTCGCAATTCATCGACACGGGATCAACAGCGGCTACGCTCTCACGTGCCGGCCGAGGACACGGAAGGTAGTTTTTTTCTTAAATTCAAATTTATTTAAAAATTCAGTTTATTATTTTTTTGTTTTGTAAAATATGTGTTTCTTTTTGTGTTAAATATAAAGTGTGGCCGTTAATGACCATTGGATACGGATTTAATAAAATGAAGATAATTATTTATAATATTGGACGAATATGGTGACTTGGAAGTCGGAACCGGTCGGGAAACCAAAATCTTCCTCAACAGAACGAGTATTCTTTGCCAACTGTTGGGTGACTCGTAAGTGCACGACCGTAATTAATAAAATGGCCCTGGAGATTTCAGGTGCACAAATTTATAAATTTTGATAATTAAAATTAAATTATTATTTAAAAATGTCTATGTCTGATGGTATAAAAGAAAGAGAGTGATTTTAGTCGTGTGATGAATTGCGAATTATTCTTTTTAATTATTTTGTTTATTAATTTATTATTTTGATTGATTTCTTTTTAAATATTGTTATTTGGATGTGCGTATGTTTGTGTGTCTATTTGTCATTTTATTTTCTATACTTGTATAAATCCCTGACGTCAGGCCTATTTGAATTAAACTTTTGACGGAAATACACATTTTATTTCTTTTTGTAAATTATTTGTGTGTTTATTAATCGAGTATTTTGTATTTTGTGCAATTTCATTGTTTTATTTTATTATTTTAAATTCTTTGTTTTATAATTTTTATTGTTTTTGTATTTTGTATTGTCGCGGTTTTTATTTATTTTCATGAAATAAGAAAATCGTTACATTTTGGCGCCCGAACAGGGACCAGACGCGTGCCCAACTTTTTTATTGTATTCTATAAATTTGAAAAATTTTATTGTTTATTTGAACGTTTAGAAAATATTTGAAAACTTATAAATTTTGTATAATGATTATTTTCTGTAATTATATAACGGTAAAATGAATGTATGATTTTTGTGTATATGAATGAGCAATTTGTATTATTTTCGATTGAAACAATAGCGCTGACAAAGACAGAAGTAAAACAAAGAGAAGGTGACAAATGTAATTAGCAAATTTTATTTTTGATTTCTGAACTTAAATTATTTTGACAATTTTGAAAATGAATGTGAACAACGAAATATTTATTGGAATGATTTTGCGAAAATTAAATAAAAATAATGATTGTTGTCGAGATTGTGCCAATCGAGTATTCGAAACTCTCAATGATGCATTTAAAACTTTTAATTTTAATTTTGAAAAATTTGATTTAGGAGAATTTGAAAATCCGCATTATTTTCTTGAACGTATTGATAAATTCTTTGTTTTGAATAGAATTTCTATAAATGAGCAGTTAACTATTTTGAAATATTTATTGCACGGCAAGGTGAAAACTTGGTTTCACATACAACAATCTCCGTTTATTGATATAAACGACTTTAAAATTAAATTTTTAAATTATTTCTTTTCAATTCCGATTCAAGTTAACTTTAAATTAAAATGGTATTCACGACGTTTCATTCCCAAAAGGGGAAATTTGCAGTCTTATTTTATGAATCAGATCTATGAAGCACAATATTTGTTTTCGGAAATGGATATTGGTGAAATTTTATATAGAATAATTCAGCAGATGCCTAATCGCGTAAAGGATGCATTGGTAACTGTTGATTATTTAAATTTTGATAGAATTTTACAGTCTTTGGTAAATTTAGATTTGATTTATCAAGATAAACAAAATGCTCGAAACAATGAATGCAAAGATTTTTTAAATTATGCACCTCCTTTGATGCCTTTGTCATGCATGGATTTTGGGAAATTGGAGCAATCAACTAAAAATTTGAATATTAATGATAATGATGGTAGTAGTCAAGAAAGTTTAAGGGGGATCGATAAAAATGCTGTTTATAGGGGGATTGAATTTACAAATTTTGATTCGACAATCAGTCTCACTGAGCATGTTTGTGAAAAAGACTTTGTAAATAACACAAAATTATATAATATTGATGATTTTGATTTTCAAATGAATATTAATTCTTGTAATAATTCGATGAATGATAGTGGAATTGATTTAGAGATCGAAGAATCTCAAATTAATCAAAGTCAGGAAAATTCTAGGGATGAAGTTCGGGGTCAGACGACAGATGATCTGAATTCCACTTCGGAAGAATATTCTCCTGAAAGAAAGAATATAATAAACGATAAATTTTGTGATTTTTATAATGAAAAATTTTGTACTGAGAAATTGTTTGATTATTTTTGTTTGTGTAAAAAAATGTTGTTTGACATGAATTCAGCCTCGAGTTTAATAGCTGATAAAGATTTTAAATTTCGATTGATTGCTTCAAGAGATTTAGAACCTGACAAGGATGTTAAAGGAGAGTGAAGGGTGTTGTTTCTTATGCATGTATTTTTGTATAATTAAATTTTTATGATTTTATTTGTGGATTTAAAATTTAATATAATTATGGTAATTATATTACCTTAAAAAAAAAATCGTGCTCTAATCTGAAAGTTGCAACAAATTATGGTTCAGAGTTATATTTTGACAATTAATTTTGTATATGGTTCAGGCAGGTTCCATTGCAAGATTGTTCGAGAAATATACACTGCCATTTGTGCAAGTAAGAAATTATCAGTTCTGCCAGCTGTCATTTCGTTTTGGAGTTAGTAGTATCGATACATTTATTGTTATGAATATTTACTTTTGAATTTGATTTTTGATATGTTTAAGAAAAAAATGATGAATGATTTGTGTTTATTTTTTATTTTTGTGGATTTTTATTATGTTTAATATTTACCATCTTATATTTAAAGATTTATGTTTGTTTATAGTTGACATGAGTATTCGATTGGTATATCTATATAAAAAAAAAGGAACAGAAAATGTTGAAATTTATTTATATTTATTAAAATGAACCTCATGATGAATTTGATATTATGTAATTCCGAATTATTTTGTAATTGTCATGAGATTTTTGTGTAATTTTTATGTGTGTGAGTTAATGATTTAATTGTTTTACTTGATTAATTGAAAAAGAATCAAGTAAAAGGGGGATAATGAAGCGATACAATCTCATGAGAGATTGACTCCTGGAAAATGTTACCGGTCCGACTTCAAAGTATTTCCAAAATTTAATTATTTTCGTGTTCTCAATATTCGGCTAAGAGTGGGGCTTGGCGGGTTGAATCGCGGGGTCGATGAAAAGTGCGATTGATTAATTTATTAATTGACTTTCGCAATTCATCGACACGGGATCAACAGCGGCTACGCTCTCACGTGCCGGCCGAGGACACGGAAGGTAGTTTTTTTCTTAAATTCAAATTTATTTAAAAATTCAGTTTATTATTTTTTATTTTGTAAAATATGTGTTTCTTTTTGTGTTAAATATAAAGTGTGGCCGTTAATGACCATTGGATACGGATTTAATAAAATGAAGATAATTATTTATAATATTGGACGAATATGGTGACTTGGAAGTCGGAACCGGTCGGGAAACCAAAATCTTCCTCAACAGAACGAGTATTCTTTGCCAACTGTTGGGTGACTCGTAAGTGCACGACCGTAATTAATAAAATGGCCCTGGAGATTTCAGGTGCACAAATTTATAAATTTTGATAATTAAAATTAAATTATTATTTAAAAATGTCTATGTCTGATGGTATAAAAGAAAGAGAGTGATTTTAGTCGTGTGATGAATTGCGAATTATTCTTTTTAATTATTTTGTTTATTAATTTATTATTTTGATTGATTTCTTTTTAAATATTGTTATTTGGATGTGCGTATGTTTGTGTGTCTATTTGTCATTTTATTTTCTATACTTGTATAAATCCCTGACGTCAGGCCTATTTGAATTAAACTTTTGACGGAAATACACATTTTATTTCTTTTTGTAAATTATTTGTGTGTTTATTAATCGAGTATTTTGTATTTTGTGCAATTTCATTGTTTTATTTTATTATTTTAAATTCTTTGTTTTATAATTTTTATTGTTTTTGTATTTTGTATTGTCGCGGTTTTTATTTATTTTCATGAAATAAGAAAATCGTTACAACATTCATAAGCTTATTTACCCTTTGGCGAAGGTCCAAGAATTTGCATTGGTAACGTTTATTTTTTATTAATTTTACAATCAACATTTTTCTGTTTAATAAAAATTTTGTTTACAATAAATAAAATTTGTTGGCGCAAATAAAATTTATTTGAAACAAATCAAATTTATTAGCGCAATAAAATAATAAAATTTATTTCGAAACAAATAGAATGTTTTTGGAACCAATAAAATTAATTAGAAAGAAATAAAATTTGTTTGTGCCAATAAAATTTACTTGAAGCAAATAAATATATTTCTTGGCGCAAATGAAATTTATTTCGAAACAAATGAAATTTCTTTTTTGGCATTACTCACAGACAAAAGTAGCGTTGGTCAGTGTTTTGAATAAATTTCGAGTGACTTTGGGACCAAATACTCCAGTGCCACTTGTAATTAACGCACAGTCAAGTGTCACGTACTCATCGAAGGAAATTAATTTGCGCTTTGAGCGATTGTAAATATAAACATTTTAAAAAGTTATATTTAAATGAAAAATGTAAATACTCCAAAAAAAGTAAAATTAAAAAGTATAAAGATAAAAGTATCAAATAATATAAAAACTGTAAAAAGTATATTACAAAAAGTAAAAGTAAAATTAAAAACTAAAAAATAGCAAATAATGAAGACTGTAAAAATAAAAAATACCTACAAAAAGTGAAATTGAAAAATAATAAAGACTGTAAAAATAAAAAAAGTAAAATTAAAAACAAAAGAGTAGCAAATAATAAAGACTATAAAATACAAAAAGTAAAATTAAAAACTAAAAAGTATCGAATAATAAAGACTGTAAAAAATGAAAAAAATTTGAAAAATAAAAAAGTTTATTTAAAAAAAATTCACGATCATTTCCCGGTCCATTCCCTGGTCATGAATTATTTTTCCCGGTCATAAAGAATAACTCTGAAAATAAATTATTCCATGAAAAATTGAAAGAATTCCCTGATTCTTGGACAAAACTTTGACTTTTTCCCAAACCCAAAAAATATTTTAATTTACTCTAAAAATAATTGAAACTCCAAAATATGTTTATAATACATTTTTTTGAATTTCTTTAACTATGTAAAATCATTTAGAACTTAAATAGATTTTTTGAAATAAATATTTAATTATTATCCATTATTTTTCCATATAGGTATTAAGATTTAAAAAAAATTCAAATTTCAAATCCTTTAAAATCGAATAATTTTTAAGAATTGCTACTGTAACTTATTAAAAATTATTTTCAAAATTTCAATTCAATTATTTTCTAGAAATTTTAACTAAAATATTTCTAAAATCCACTTGTTTACAAGACAATTTCATGAAATTTTGAATAATTTAAAAATTTTTCAATTAAAAATTATATATTTAAAAATATTAATTAATTAATTAACTATATAATAATTTGAATGTTATAATTTTCATTTATTAACTTTCATTTAACTTTTAATTAACTTTCATTCATTAACTTTTTCTGTCCCTCACACTTTGAAGTTGTCTTTTGTTTATATTTTTGTTTTTTGTCATCTTTAGATAGATTGTAGGTATATTTATATTATTATGTTATAATTAATTCAAAATTGTAATGAAAAATAGAAATCATCAGAATTTTTTTCACTTCTTTTCATTAAAAAACTAAAATTTTGTTAAATATTATGTTTTGTCAAATTGAATTTATGCAGATTTTTGTTTTTTACTTCTAAACAAAATTAGAAAATTGTTAAACAACTGTGATTAAGAAATAGAAAATTTATTTATTTTGCATTATTTTTGTTTATGAATCACAATTTTTTTAACAAAATTATTATTTTGTTTTAGAAAAAGAAGAAAAATATTTGCACAATTTCTATTTTTAATATTATTTTTGGAACAGAATTTTCCACAGGAATTAAGACATTCAAAAATTTTAAATTCAAACCTTTTTTAAATTAAACAATTTATAAAAATATTTGTTATAAAACATGAAGATATCGATTGTGCAAAAATTAAAAAATAAATAAATAAAAAATAAATTGTGCAAAAATATTTGCACAATTTCTATTTTTAATATTATTTTTGGAACAGAATTTTCCACAGGAATTAAGACATTCAAAAATTTTAAATTCAAACCTTTTTTAAATTAAACAATTTATAAAAATATTTGTTATAAAACATGAAGATATCTTCATGTTTTATAATAATTAAAAATGACCGAGTGATAAAATCATTTTCATCATTTTAATTCAATTATTATTTTCTAGAATTTTAAATTATTTTTTATGAAAATAATTGAATTCCTTAAAAAAGTTTTATTATTTATGAAAATAATTAAATGTTTGCATACAATTTTATTAAAATTTTTTTTTAAATAATTGAATTTTTTTGGGGGAATTTTATTAAAATATTAGATATTGAAAATCATTGAAATTAGAAATTTTTTAAAAATAATTGAAATTAGGACAAGAATTTTATTAAAATTTTTGAAAATAATTTAACTTTGGAAAAGAATTTTGTTATTTATAAAGATAATTGGGATTTTTACGAGAATTTTTTCCAAATTTTGAACATATGTAGTTTAATTTTGTTTTTTTTTTAAATAATTGAATTTCTTAAAAAAATTTTATTATTTATAAAAATAATTGAATTCCTGTGAAATTTTTATTATTTATGAAAATAATTAAATGTTTACATACTATTTTATTAGAATTTTTTTTTAAATAATTGAATTCGTTTTGGGAAATTTTATTAAAATAGTAGATATTAAAAATCATTGAAATTAGAAAAATTTTTGAAAATAATTAAAATTAGGACAAGAATTTTTTTTTTGACAGTTATAAAAATAATTGAACTTTGGAAAAGAATTTTGTTATTTATAAAGATAATTGGGATTTTTACGAGAAATTTTTTTTAAATTTTGAACATAGAATTTTAGAAGAAGAATTTTTTTTTTTTTTTTTGAAAATAATTGAATTTCTGCAATTATTTGTAATTTCTCCAAAATTGAAAATTTTTTTAGTGTTTTAAACAAAAATTTATATTAGAAAATTTTTAAAATTACTAATTTTATATAAAAAAGGCAGTAAGAAGTTAGCCACGCGCGAATTGTTGCTATTTACATAAAAAATTTATAAATCTAAACATATAAAACACTGAGTAATTATTCGTAGTTTTACTTGAAAGAAAAAAAACCTGAGGTCACACAAAGAAATGAGAATGATAATAAAAAAAAAATGTTATGCAAAAAGGACATAATTCTTTGATAAATACTTATTACTTAATTGTGCAAATAAGTCCATAATACGACGATTCATGAAATATTGAGTGCATAAAGAATAAAAAAAACATGTCATTATATGTTATCAGGAGCGTACCCTTATACCAGCACTGCCTCCCACTACCCACCTCTTGTCTTAAATTACTTTTATAATATAACTTACCTAACAGTTCGTTTCCATCGCTTGGCATAACGACTTATGTGTATATAATATAAACTCGAGTCACGATCACTTGCAATGCGCAGTTTTTATTCTCAATTTACTTCAAAAATTTTTTTTTTTTAATTTGCCAGATCACTTTAATTAATAGTAATGCCGTTACTGTGTGTTATTAGAAATTTTTTTTTTCAAAACCTTTCGTGATGTTAAACGCTAGTTTTAGTTTGATTTTCATCGTGCAATGTCAATAAATTTTTGTAAAAATTATTTTTTTGCGAAAAAAAAAGAATTTAGTATTTTTCAATACTAACGTAAATTTTTTCATTAACGTAAAAAAAATTAATTTGTAATGTGTTTATTTGTTAAGTGAATGAATTTAAGTTAACTCGATGAAATAAATTTAAATTAAATGAATTGTGATTTATTGTTCCGTATAATTCTCAAAACTAAATAAATAGATAGATAAATAAAGAATTAAATAAATTTATTAATTAATTTTAAGTTAAAGAAGTTGTAAATAAATTTAAATTTAAGAAGGTGTAAATAAGTTTAAATTAAAGAAGGTGTAAATAAGTTTCAATTGAAGGAGTTGTAAATAAATTTAAATTAAAGGTGTTGTAAATAAATTTAAATTAAAGGAGTTGTAAATAAATTTAAATTAAAAAAGATGTAACTAAATTTAAATTAAATAAGTTATTAAAAAAATTTGAATGAAGTTTTTGAAAATCGAGAGAAATAATTATTTTAATAAAAATTGACGAATATGGCAATAATTATGAGTAGTTTTGTTCTGGAATTTTTTGGAGTTGTGACGATAGTGCTCCTTGGTGTCTACTTGTATTTTAAATTATTTATTTACAATTATTGGGAAAAAAATGGAGTCCAATATATAAAACCCATAGTGCCAATTGGGAATATTTTGAACGCCGTTATTGGAAAAGAGCACATTGGTATTTATTGCAACATAAATTATTAGAATAATAAATAATAGCAAAAAATAATAAAGAAAGAAAAAAAAAACTATTAATATATGCATAAAAATAAAAAGAGTCCTAAAGAAAAAATTACAAAAAACCTATTAGAATGAAATAATAATAAAAATAAATAGTAACAAAAAATAATAAAGAAAGGAAAAAAACTATTAATATGCATCAAAATAAAAAGAGTCTTAAAGAAATGATGAGAAGTACCTATTAGACTAAAATAATAATAATAAAAAGCCATTGAGTCAAATCGGATCAAGAAATATTAAAATATATTTGAATAATAAAAAAAAAGTTTTATTTGTAAAAAAAATAAAAAATAATAAAAAATAATATTGAAGAAAATAATAAAAAACATTTGAATAAAATAGAATAAGAAAATAATAGCAAATAAAATGAGTGAAAATAAATAGATATAAATAGATTGAAAAAAAAATAAACTTTAGAATAAAGTAGAATAAATGAAATGAAAATGAAAAAAAAAGAATAAGAAGTAAAAAAAATATTTTGGCAATAAAAAACAATAAATATTGGAATTAAATTTTTTTTGTTTTTCAGGTGTTTGTTTTGAGAAAGGCTATGAGAAATTGAAGAAATATCGATATGGTGGACTGTACACATTACACAAACCAAGTTTACTAATAGCCGATCTTGATTTAGTAAAAATGGTGTTGACAAAAGAATTCGCACATTTTCACGATCGGGGTCTTTATTGTAATGAATCATTTGATCCTCTCTCGGGACACATTTTTCTACTGTCGGGACAAAAGTGGAAAAATTTACGTGCAAAATTGACGCCAACTTTTACTTCGGGAAAATTGAAAGGAATGTTTGGAATTTTAACAGGAAAGGGCGATCATTTGTGTGAAATTATAGAGGGTCACAATCAGGAAGTTATTGAAGTGAAAGATATGATGGCACGGTAACTATTATTATTAATTAATTAGTATTTAAATCAATTTAAATTTAAGTCAATTTCAATTAATCTAAGTTAAACAAATTTTTACTTTATTTTATAACTTTATTATTTATGAAATAATTTAAATATTTGAAATTTGAAGCAAATACCATTTAATTGAGGCAAATAAAAATTATTTCTGATTCAGGTAAATATTTAATTGATTTTACTTTATTTGAATTGATAAATTAAATTAAAGTAAATATTTAATTGATTTTACTTTAATTTAATTGACAGATTAAATTATAATACTAATTAAAATTACTCAATTAGTCAAGTGATCGGTTATATTTGAATAAAATAATTTTTTTTTTCGTTTTCATTGCCATTTATCATTTGTAGATAAAATATTTAAGATATATATTTTTTTATAGATACGCAACTGATGTGATTTTTACAATAGCATTCGGAGTGAATCCAAATAGTCTTGATAATCCACAAAGTGAATTTCGCTATTATGGGAAAAAAATATTTGAAATAAGTTCAGTGAAAACTGCCCTCGCATTTTTTGGACCAAGTATTATGGATTTTTTCAAAATCCCCCTCATCGATAGAGGTAGTAGTAAATTTTTCATAAAAGTTTTCACAGAAACCTTTGAATATAGATTAAAAAATAATGTAAGAAGAAAGGATTTTTTGGATTATTTATTGCAACTTGTCAATTATGGACGTTTAGAAGAAGATGATGATGAAACATCAACGATAGCGGGTAATTTATTTTTCGAAATAAAAAAAAACATAATTTTAAAAAATAACAAAATAAAGAATGTAAATAATAAATTTAATAAAAAAAATAATAAAATAAAATAAAAAAATAATAAATGAGAAAAATTAAAAAAATAAAATAAAATACAAAAATAATAAATTAATATAAATAATAATTATAAAAATGTCCTTTGAATTTATTTCCAGATTCTTTGCATGGTAAAATAACATTTTTGGAAGCTGCGGCGCAAGCTTTTGTTTTCTATTTAGGCGGTTTTGAAACTTCATCGGCAACAATTTCCCATTGTTTATACGAATTGGCCATTCATCAGGAAATACAAGAAAAAGTTCGGGAAGAAATTAAATTAGCTTTGGAAAAACATGGACAACTTAGTTATGACAGTTTGAATAGTATGTCATATCTTCATCAATGTGTTTCTGGTAAAAACATTAAAAAATCAAAATTTTAATTGAATTTTATTTTAATTTTAATATTTAATTTAATTATTAGTTTACTATTTAATTTTATGCAGGTATAAAAATCAAATATTAAATTTAACATAAAGGGAATAATTAAAAAAAATTTTTATAAAAATTAAATAAATATATCAAAAATCAAAAATTTCATAAATAAAAATTAAATAATAAATATTAAAATCGAATATTAAATTTTACATATAATGCAGTTAAAAATATTGTATTTAATTTTTAAGAGACTTTTTCTAATATATATTAAAACTATTTTAGAAACTATGAGACTATATCCAGCGTTGGCCATTTTAAATCGCGTGTGCACGAAGGATATCGATTTACCAACAACTAATTTACATGTGAAAAAGGGTGTCGACGTTGTAATTCCTGTTTTGGGAATTCATTTGGATCCGGAAATTTATCCCGATCCTTTGAAATTTGATCCTGAAAGATTTACTCCAGAAAATATTGCCGCTAGACATTCATACGCTTATTTACCCTTTGGCGAAGGTCCAAGAATTTGCATTGGTAACGTTCATTTTTTTTAGTAATTTTACAATTAAAATATTAAATTACATTACAGTATTTAATTAATATATTATAGTAAATAAATAAGTTAATTAATTTATAAGTTAAATTATATTTGAAACAAAGAACTTTGTTGCAGTAAATAAAATTTATTTGAAACGAATATTAATTTCTTAGCTCAAATAAAATTTATTTGAATCGAATAAAAATTTTTTAGTTCAAAAAAAGTTTATTATGAAAGAAATAAAAAAATTTCTTGGCGGTAGTAAAATTTATTTGAAACTAATAAAAATTTTTTGCCCCGAATAAAGTTTATTTGAAAGAAATAAAACTTTTTTGGCGCAAAGAATATTAATTTAAAAGAAATCAAAATTTCTTAGCGCATGTATCTAAAATTTATTTGAAACGAATAAAAATTTCTTGGCGCAAATAAAATATATTTGAAACGAATAAAAATTTCTTGGCGCAAATAAAATTATATTTGAAACGAATAAAGAATTTTTGGCGCAAATAAATTTAATTTGAAACGAATAAAAATTCTTGGCGCAAATAAAATTATATTTGAAACGAATAAAGAATTTTTGGCGCAAATAAATTTAATTTGAAACAAAAATTTCTTGCCGCGAATAAATTTTATTTGAAACAAATAAAAATTTCATGGCGCAAATATTTTATTTAAAACAAAAATATTTTTTTGAGTTTATTTTATTATATTTAAAACATTTAATTTTTTTTGAGTTCATTTTATTGTATTTAAAACATTAACTTTTTTTGAGTTTATTTACATAATATGAAGAAATATTTTTGAATAATATTCAAAAAGAATTGAATTTTTTTCAGGAATGAGAATGGGTTTGGCACAAACAAAAGTAGCACTGGCCAGTGTTTTGAATAAATTTCGAGTGACTTTGGGACCAAATACTCCAGTGCCACTTGTAATTAATCCAAAGTCCAGTGTCACCTATTCATCGGAGGAAATAAATTTGCGCTTTGAGCGTTTGTCAATATAATCATTTTCTAAAAAAAATTGTTCAAAAAAAATATTTACAAGTAAAAATACTTGTAGTTATCGTAATTTAAATTATTTTAAAAATAATTTAAAAACTTACACCTATCGCAATTTACAATAATTGTATAATTCCTATAATTTACCATGCTTCTCATTTCGCTTCGATGAAAAATTTACGAAAATTAATTATATTAGGTAATTTCTAAATGATATAATCAAATCAAATCAGTTATATCACTTTATAAACCTAAAGAAATTGCAATCAAAATAAGTAAATAAATGTAAATACCACAATATTGTAAGAATATTTTTTTTAATAATACAAAATAATAATAATAATAATATTGTATGTTCTAAAAAACAATAAATAGTATATTTTATAAATTTGAGTTTATGTGATTTATTTTTAATACTAATAAATATTATTTATTATTTCATTTAATAGAATAAATAAAGAATTCGATCGACTGTGACGTAAAGAGAATTGTATTTTTACTTTTTAAAGATTTTATCATGAGTAATGGTCGCATATTAGAACTTGTGTAGTAACGAATAGATTTTTTTTATTTCTACACTTTTTATGAATCATTGACTTTCACTCTCATTTATTTCTAAGACCTAATAGGAGAGTCAACAAATGATAATATTGAAATATAAAATGGCAACAATATTTTTTTTATTTGCACAACACAAATTGATAAAAAAAAAACTACCAAAAATTATTATCCAAATATCTAGTATGTGGAATAATTTATAAATTTACATTATCAAAATGAGAAATGTTGACAAATATTTTTTTTTTTGTATTTTATCCTGGAAACTATTTTCATTTGGTTCGAAGGATAAAAAATTTTTTTGAATTAGGAAATTTTTTAATTTCTTTGTCTTTATGACTGTTTTTTTTTCTGTCTTCTTCTTCTGCTTGCACTCAGAAAAAATTTATTTTACTCGGAAGCTTTAGAAACTTTTTATTATTTGTGAAATAAATTTTATTTGGTTAAAGCAATAATTTTTAATTTGGTTCTAATAAGAATTTTTTTAATTGCTTCAAATTAAATTTGTTAGTTTAAATCAAAATTGTTTGGTTCAGTTCGAATAAAGTTTATTCGGTTCAAATAAAGTTTATTTGGTTCAAATAAATTTTGTTTTGTTCGAATAAAATTGATTCGGTTCAAATAAAATTGATTCGGTTCAAATAAAGTTAATTTGGTTCAAATAAAGTTAATTTGGTTCAAATAAAGTTTATTCGGATCAAATAAATTTTTTTTGTGCAAATAAATTTTATTCAGTTCAAATAACAATTTTTTTATTTGACTCAAAAAAAAATTTTACTCACTTCAAATAAATTTTATTCGAATAAAATAAATTATATTTGGTTCAAGTAACAATTTTTTTGGTTCAGTTCCAATAAAGTTTATTCGGTTAAAATAAATTCTATTTAATTGAATAAAAATTTTTTAATTTGTTTAAATAAAACTTTAAATTTTTAATTAATTTGCATTTTATTTGTTTCAAATAAACTTTATTTGATTCAAATAAATATGTTAATTGGTTCAACTAAAAATTTTACTTGGTTTAAATAAAGTTTATTCAGATCAAATAAATTTTTTTGTGCAAATAAATTCTATTCAGTTCAAATAACAATTTTTTTATTTGACTTAAATAAATTTTATTTGTGCCAAACTGCCAACAAAATTTCATTTGCGCGCAAAATTTTTTAGTTGCAAAAAAGTTTTATTTATTTCAAATAAATGTTATTCGGATCGAGTAAACTTTATTTGGTTAAAAAAAAAGTTATTTGATTCAAATAAAAATGTTATTTGGTTCAAAAAAAAAAAATTTTACTTACTTCAAATAAATGTTATTCGGTTAAAATAAATTCTATTTGATTGAATAAAAATTTTTTAATTTGTTCAAATAAAACTTTAAATTTTAAATTAATTTACATTTTATTTATTTCAAATAAAGTTTATTCGGTTAAAATAAATTTTATTCGTGTTTAAATAACAGTTTTGTTACCAAGAGAGTTTTATTTCCTTCAAATAATCTTTATTTAGTTAAATTAATTTTTATTTGCTTCAAATAAATATGTTATTTAGTTCAACTAAAAATTTTACTTGGATTTAATAAATTTTATTCGATTCAAAGAAATTTTGATTTAGTTTTAGTTAAATTAATTTTTATTTGCTTCAAATAAACTTTATTTGATTCAAATAAATATGTTAAAAAAATATAACATAAATAAAATTTTACTAGGACTAAAAACTTTACTAGGATTAAATAAATTTTATTCGATTCAAAGAAATTTTGATTTAGTTTTAGTTAAATTAATTTTTATTTGCTTCAAATAAACTTTAATTGATTCAAATAAACTTTATTTGATTCAAATAAATATGTTATTTGGTTCAATTTAAAGTTTTACTTGGATAAAATAAATTGTATTCGATTCAAATAAATTTTGATTGATTCTGACTGAAAAATATACTTTTATTAAATTCAAGTAAATTATATACTTGATTCAAATAAAATTTTTTCTGGGTGTGCCGATTGGAAATTATTTTTGTCTCATAAATTATTTTTTTTCTAAAAAGAACAATTGCTAAAAAAATAATAGGTAAAAAGGACAATTGGTAAAAAAAAACAATTAATAGCAATTGAAAATTGCTGAAAAAAATTGGTAAAAAGAAAAATTGCTAAAAAGAATAATTGGTGCAAAGAGAAATTGATATAAAGAACAATTTTTTAATAAAACAATTGGTAAAAAGAAAAATCGATTAAAAGAATAATTTGTAAAAAGAAGAATTAAAAAAAGAAAAATGAGTAAAAAAAGGAATTTTCTCTCTCAAAAAAAGAAAAAAACATTCAAATGATGGAATGTGAAGAATCGCTTTCGAGGCGCATCAAATCGACTAAAATGAAGATAACCTTCTCTCCGGATGTGCGAATGATTGATGATAATAATTGATGAAATTTAATAACCATAGTCTAATACCCTTGGCGAGCTTTTATAATCGTAGTCTAAGGACGTCGATGATGGATAGGACGAGGGTGCTATCGCGGACGTTGTATAGGGACTGGCAGTTTCGTAGGAATTCGTAGAATAATTTTCTTCGCTGCCCGGTCCATTCAGGGGGCCACTCTGGTCCACTGGACCCGCGTCCTGAGCGACGGAATTCGGTTGCACATTAATCGAATCGCGAATGAGGAATTTGGCGAAAGGATGCATTTTCACGGAATTCTGAATAGTATTCTGAAGAGCCTCGTGGTCGTTCTTGGTGGCGACGGCTTGCGCCGCAGCCTCACTCGCGGCTTGAGCGGCATGAGCGGCAGCCGCAGCGGCGTTGCTCTGCGCCTTTTGAGCGAGGGCCGCTGCTTTTTGAGCGGCAGCTTGCGTCGCCTCAAAGTCAACTCTAGCGGCCTCCAATTGCTCGTCGATCGCTCGAGCGCTGGCCTTGGCCTGACCGAGCATTGTTGTTTGCGCCGCTAATTCGGCAGCGGCTTCGGCGGAAGCCTGAGCCGCGTGTTCCGATGTCACTTGAGCGGCATTCAAAGCTGTTGTTATTATTTGTACCTGCGAAAAGAAATCGGGCTCTGAAAAATATTGAAATTTGGGAATTTTGAAACTTTAAGGACGTTTATCCAAAGAAATTTTGCAGACCTCTATAGAAAAGAAATTAATTTCTGTAGAATTTTTTTTTTTAAAAATGATTCGATTTTAATGTAATTTTGACTAATTTTCTTCAAAAAATAGTTCTCAACAACTTCACCATTCAGATTCTTAGTTCAGATTTTTAAATATGATGAAAAATTTGAATCTATTATAAATTGTTAAAATAAATAAATTTTTCGATTGCCAATTTTTTTTCATGAAAATTGATAATTTAATTTTTATAGAAAATACAATTAATAATAATATTTAAATTACTCAGATGTTAATTAATTTCTTTTCTAGAGATCTGCATTCTATGAGATGAACCACCTTAAAGGTGACCACTTAAATCTGTCTCTGAAAAGTATAAAAATTCAAAAATTTGGATAATTTAAAAGTGACTTAAATCAGTCTCTGAAAAATATTAAAATTCAAAAATTCGGAAACTTTAAACGTGACAACATATTTTTAAAAAAATAATTACAGTAGCTAACTTCTGTTGATTATTTTCAAAAATTTCAATAAACTTCTTTAGAAATTCAATTATTTTCTATTGAATATTTTAGCAAAATTTCAATTATTGTAAAAATTTTCAATTAAACTAGAATTGTAAAAATTCAATTATTTTTAATACAATTCTTAAAAAACAATTCTAAAAAAATACAATTCAAAAATTATCAATTACTTAAAGGTAAAAATTTAATTATTTTTTAAAGAATTTTAACAAATTTTCATTAATTCAAAAATTTTCTACTTGTTGACTTAAAAACTTAAATTATTTTTTTAAAGAATTTTAGGAAATTCCATTTATTTGATACTTAAAATTCAATTATATTTAATAAAATTTTAGTAAAATGTTCAATTATTTTCAAATTTTTAATTATTTTATTGTTAAATTATTTTTTATAGAATTTTAAAAAATTTATATTATTTCAAAAATTTTAATAACATTTTTAGAAAATAAAAATATTTTCAATGTTTTTCAAAAACTTTTCAAAAATTCAAATATTTCTAATAAAATTTTAGAAAATTCCAATTTCTCCCATTATTTCAATTACTTAATAGTAAAAATTACATTACTTTTAATTAAATTTTAAGAAAGTTCAATTATTTCAAAATTTTTCAATCACTTGATTGTAAAAATTAAATATTTTATAGAATTTTAGAAAATTTTCCATTATTTCAAGACTTTCAAATTAAAATTCCATTTAACAAATTTTAATAGAATTTTAGATAAATTCAATCAAATTTGATAAAAATTCAATTATGATTAATAAAATATTAGGAAATTTCAATTATTTCAAAAACTTTCAATTACTTGATTGTAAAAAATCAATTACTTTCAACAAAATTTTAGAAAATTTCAACTATTTCATAAATTTCCAACGAATTGATTTAAAAAATTCCTATATTTTTTTTAAAAATGTTATCAAATTTCAATTATTTCATAAATTGTTAGCTACATGGTTTGAAAAAATTCAATTATTTCTAATAAAAGTTTAGGAAATTTCAATTATTCACAAAATTTTAATTACTTGATAGTAAAAATTCTATTACTTTTAATAAAATTTTAAGAATTTTCAATTATTTAAAAAAAATTTCAATTATTTGATCAAAAAAATTAAATTAATTTTAATAGAATTTTAATAAAATTTGAATTCTTTCAAATTCAATTGTTTCAAATTGAATTTTAAGAAATTTTAATTATTTATAAAATTTTGAATTATATTTGATTATTTAAAAATTCAGTTATCTAAAAGAAAAAGAACTGAAATATTTTAAAAACACAAGTGTTCATAATTTTGAATAAATTTGTTAATCTAAATATTTTCAAATAGTATTTTAAACATTTCAATTATCTCAAAATATTTTCAAATACACTTGATTGTAAAAATTCAATTTTTTGGAATCGAAAATTTGAAAAAATCAATTATTTCATAAATTTTACAAAATTTTAATTAACTTTTTAGCTTTTCAGTTAATTTTCTTTTGAAAAATTCAAGTAATTTTAAAAAATTAAATTCAAATTTCTCATAAAACAAAATTTTTTCAGAATTTTTTATAAAATTATTTAAAACACAAATAATATTTTAATATAATTTTTTTTTAATTTTCTTTATACAGAACTTTAAATTTTCGAAAAATTTCTGTTTAAAACCTTATCTCAAATGCAATTATTACTGAAAACAGCAACTATTTTTTATATAAAATTGTTTTTATGCTAAATATAAATTTTAATCTGTTCTTATTACTATAAATTCATACTTTTTAATAATTAATGAATGATTAATTATTATCAACAAAACGAAAATAGAAAAATAAATAAAGAAATTAATAAAATTATTATAATAGAAAATAATATGAAATTTTAATTTATAATTTTTATTAATTTCTTTATTTATTTTTAATGTTATTAATAATTGTAATTTATAAAAAGAAAAGCGTTTAAAATAATTTAAAAGAGTGATTAAACTGACACATGAATAGAATAGAAAATAATTGTAAATTAAAAATAGTTGTAAAAAAACGTATTTCATTCCGAAAAACTATATTGTTTGGATTGAAAAATAAAATTAGAAAAATTAAATTAGGGAATTATGAAAATTTTAATGTAATTTATTGAGTCATGTGAGTTCTTTAGTGAGTTTTTTTTTGGGAAAATTTAATTCATTTTGAGTTCTGAGCAGAGTTCTGGTATCAGTAATCAGAGTTCTGCACACAATTTCAATAAACTTCTGTTCTAAACTTAAAATCGAAAAAACTACGGAACTTTGACAATTTATTAAAAATAATATTTTTACAAAAAATTCATTCTTCATGATTTTTGAGCAAAGTTCTGGTATCAGTAAAAAGAGTTCTATACATATTCTTAACAAACTTTCCTTCTGAACTCAAAAGTGAAAAAACTACAGAACTTTGAAAATTTTAAAATGTAGAGTTCTGAGAGTTTTAGCATCGGCATAAAGAGTTCTACAAGTAATGCCTTATTTTTATGCCGATGCCAGAACTCTAATCAGAACTCTAAATTTTTAAATTTCAACATTTTTTAAAATTTCCTAAGTTCTGTATTTTTTTCAATTTTGAGTTTAGAAAGGAAGTTTGTTGGAAATATGTATAGAACTCTTTTTACTGATACCAGAACTCTGCTCAGAGCTCTTAAAGAATTAAATTGTTGCAAAAACAATTTTTTTTTGTAATTTTTCATAGTTCTGTAGTTTTTTCTATTTTAAGTTTAGAAGAAAAGTTTATTGAGATTATGTGCAGAACTCTCATTACTGTCACCAGAATTCTGCTCAAAACTCAAGAAGAATTAATTTTTTGGAAAAAAAAATTGTTCTTGAAATTTTTCAAAGTTTTATAGTTTTTAGTATTTTACGGAACTATTCATTTTTTTATGAGAGAACTCTAGAACAGTTAATTAGCTATCAGAATACCATGTTAGAACTCTTTTTGCGAAAATTGTAGTTCTACGCGAAATTAGCAACTAATTTTTTCATATTGTTTTTTAGTGTCAATTTTTTTTTCTTTTTTTTTTTTTGAAAAATCAGGGAACTCCTAAAAAAATACCTGATGCATAGCCTGTTGAGCGGAATTTTGAGCAGCAGTGGCAGAACGTTGGGCCTGTTGCAATTGTGTTTTTTCCGAATTGACAGCCTGATGAGCATTGTAGGACTGTTGCTCGAGGCCCATGAGGATAATTTGCTTTCCCGCGAGAGCAGCGGCTGCAGTTGCGGCTGATTGAGCGGCAGCTTGAGCCAATGTGTTCTTGGCAACGTAGGCAGCTTGTCCAGCAGCCGAAGGTTGATTCACAACTGAATTGTGAGCAGCATTGGCTGCACCCTGAGCAATGCTCACCAATCCACCACCCACGCTGAAACCAGTTTTTGGTCTTGGTTGAGCCAAGGGCACAGGTGCTTCGGCATATTCGGCCGAATATCCCGGATCCTGTTTGATATAATCAAAATCTAATCCCTCGATAAGTTGGTCAACTTGTTTCTTGTCCAGGACGTGGGACTGCTTCGTGGGACCCGCCACTACCAACGTCACGCAAAACGATATCAACACTAGCTTCATTGCAATCCTTATTGTCTTAATTTCTCTGAAAAATTTCATATTCATTAGAAATTGTGTCGAAATCAGCAGAGGATTTACACAAAATAGTTATTATCGTATCAAGGGCGCAAAATAGGTGATTGGGACGATGGCGAGATGAAGGGACCGAGGGGACATTTTCGCGTCCGAGGCGAAGCCGAGGGTGCGAAAGTGTCCCCGAGGTCCCGAAATCTCGCCAAAGTCGTAATCACCTTTGCGCCCATGTTGCGAACATAATTTTTTGTCCTAACTGCATGAAAAGTATGGCATTGAGGGCACGAGCGAAGCGGGCGTAAAAGTACTTTTGCGCCCGCTTGTGTGACGTCAGCGGGCGTAAAAGAACTTTTGCGCCCGCTTCCCCGACCCCGGGCGAGAATCAGTTACTTTGCGCCCACTTTAAGTGCCCGAAATGACATACTTTTCGTGCAGGTAGGAGAAAAAATTCATTTTGTTTTTCCCTGATTTTCAGACAAAATTTTTATTTTTTCCCTGATCCTAAAGAATATTCTGATTTACTATAAAAATTATTAGATATACTCAACAAAAATTTTTGAATTTTTGTTTCGAATTTTTTTTATTGTAACACTCGGCAAGCCCACAAGTCATTTAAGAAAAAGAAGAAGAAGAAGAATAACTTCTTTTTTAAATAAATATTTAATCATTATTTTTTCACAGGAATCAAGATTTTCAAAATTTTAAAATAAAAACCTTTTGAAATTCAATAACTTTTATAAATATTATTAAAAAACATATAGATAACAAACACTCCGAGTCGAAGACTCGGAGTGCTCGTTATCCTTATGTTTTATAATAATTTTAATTTACATAAAATTTTTCAAAAAAGAATTAAATTATTTATAATAAAATCCTTCGCAACAATTCAATTATTTTTATAATACAATTTTCACATCAATTAATTTATTTTAGAAAATGTAATAAATAAAATTCGTTGTAAGAATTCAATTATTCTTATAAATAATAAAATATTTCATAGGATTTCAATTATTTTTAATACAATATTTTAAATCAATTGCTCGAAAAATATAAATATTTAAAAATTTTTTTCAAGAATACAATTATTTAAAAAAAATGTAATAAAATTCGTTACAAGAATTCAATTATATTCATAAACAATAAAATTCTTTACAGAATTTCAATTATTTAAAAAAAATTTAATGTAATTCGTTGCAAGAAGTCAATTATTTTCTTAAATAAAATTCTTTACATGTAGTCAATTATTTAAAAAAATGTAATAAAAATTCGTTGTAAGAATTCAATTATTTTCATTGTAAATAATAAAATTTGCATAGGATTTCAATTATTCTTATTTTATTCGTTACAGGAATTCAATTATTTTCATAAATAATAAAATTTCCATAGGATTTCAATTATTTTTATTTTTTTTTCGTTGTAAGAATTCAATTACAACTCTTTACTCTTTACAGGATTTCAATTACTTGCAAAAAATTTCATATAATTCGTTCCAAGAATTCAATTACTTTCATAAATACTAAAATATTTCATAGGATTTCAATTATTTTTAATACAATAATTTAAATCAGTTGATCGAAAAATGTAAATATTTAAAAATTGTTTTCAAGAATTCAATTATTTAAATAAAATGTAATAAAATTCGTTACAAGAATTTAATTATTTTCATAAATAATAAAATTCTTTACAAAATTTCAATTATTTAAAAAAAATTTTAATGTAATTCGTTGCAAGAATTCAATTATATATTCTTCAATAAAATTCTTTACACGTAGTCAATTATTTAAAAAAATGTAATAAAAAATTCGTTGTAAGAATTCAATTATTTTCATAAATAATAAAATTTCCATAGGCGGATTTCAATTATTTTTATTCTCTTTCGTTACAAGAATTCAATTATTTTTATAACTAATAAAATTCTTTACAGAATTTCAATTATTAAAAAAAAAATTAATAAAATTCGTTGCAAGAATTCAATTATTTTTACAAGAAAAAAAATTCTTTACAGGATTTCAATTACTTACAAAAAATTTAATATAATTCGTTGCAAGAATTCAATTATTTTCCAAAATAACAATATTCTTTACATGAATGCAATTATTTTTATAAATAATAAAATTTGTCGTATGATTTCAATTAAAAATGTAATTATTTCCAAAATTTTTTGCAAGAATTAAATTACATTTTTCAAATAATGAAATTCTTCGCGGAAATTAAAATATTTTAAAAATCTACTATTTTAATAAAATTTTTCAAAAGAATTCAATTTAAAAAAAAAAATATATTATAATAAAATTCGTTGCAAGAATTCAATTATTTTTATAAATAATAAAATTCTTCACAGGATTTCAATTATTTTTAATACTTTTTTTGCAAAAATTTCTTGAGAATTTTCAAATTCATTTGTTTAAAATTCAATTTTACAAAATTTCGATTATTCAGAAATTCTTCAATTATAAATATTTAGAGAAAAGAAAACTTGAAATAATTTCAAAAGAAAAAAATTCAATTAAACTTTTTCATAAAAAATAATTCTATACATATAATATATTTTCAAAGATATTAATATAAAAACTTTTTAAAATTCAATTATTTTTGAAAATTCATACAATAATGTATTTAAATTTTTAAATAATTGACATTCTTTGAAGAATGTTAATAAAATTTTCAAAAATAATTACATTTTTGGAGGAATTCGATTAATTCGATTAAAATTGTATTGAAAATAATTGAAATTCTATGAGTTTATTAGTCATGAAAATAATATTGAACCTCGTTAAAAAATTTTTATTATTTATGCAAATAATTGAATTATTGCGAAGAGATTTATAAAAAAAAAATTTGTAAATAGTTGAATTCATGTGAAATTTTTATTATTTATGAAAATAATTTAATGTTTTCTTTGAATTTTATCAACACTTTTTTAAATAATTGAATTTTTTTTTTGAAAATTTTTTTTAAAATAGTTGATACGGAAAATTATTGAATTGAGGAAAACTTTGGAAAAATAATTGAATTTTGGAGAAGAATTTTATTATTTTTAAAGATAATTAAAATTTTTACAAGAATTTTTTTCAAAAAAAAAAAAAAAGTTTTGAACATATATAATTGAATTTCTGCTAAGAATTCTATTACTTTTGAAAATAATTGAATTTCTCCAATTATTATTTTTAACTTTTTCAAAATTCAATTTTTTTCAGTACTTTAATAAAAATCCATGACTTTTTCCTGAAGTTCCTGACCAGAATTGGGTTCAAAAATAATTTCAATATAAAATGAGGGGAAAAAAATAATTAATTAGAAAAGTTTTCGTAGGAGAATAAATTTTCAAAAATGACTTTTCTCCCTCTTATTCAGAGGCAAATTATTTAATTAACAATTAACATATTGAAAAAAAGGAAAATAATTACAAAAAGTTTAGAAAAAAGAGAAGAAAAAAATGTTTAAAAAAAAATTGAAAGACTACATATTTGAACTCATGTTTAAATTATACGCATATAACAAGCGAGGTGCAATCAAATTATCCTTTAATTTATTCGAACAAATTTTTCTCCTTTTTCCAATATATAATAATATCTTATGTCAGAAAATGCGAACAGCTCGCCAGCGATTTTTTTTTTCCAACGACAATTTTCATCAGTACCCACTCATATCAAGTTTAAACATATAAATTGAAATCTAATAGTTCTTGAAACAGACCTTCGTCTATGAGAACTGCTTTACGCCTTGTCGATTTTCTTTAGATGTAGATTATTTCTCATAAATAGTATATAACCTATGGTAATTGTAAAAGCCACATACATACTAATACACTTTGAGTCCGCGGGGATTTGAAAGGGCGGTGTCTGAAAAACTTTTATCTTTTACATACACACACTTTCCACCACAGATAATAGACAGACGGATATATATTTCTCTCTCTCTCTCTCTCTCTCCTTGAAAGAGAGAAAAAATATATAGCTATATATATAGAGAGAGAGAGAAAGAGAGAGAAAAAAATATATATATTTTTCTCTCTCCTTGAAAGAGAGAAAAAATATATAGCTATATATAGAGGGAGAGAAAGAGAGAGAAAAAAAATATATATTTCTCTCTCTTTCTCTCTCTCTCTCCTTGAAAGAGAGAAAAAATATATAGCTATAGAGAGAGAGAGAGAGAGAGAAATATATATCTACATATAGAGGGAGAGACAGAGAGAGAAAAAAAATAATATACATATAGATGGAGAGAGAGAGAGAGCGAGAGAGAGAAATATTCTAATACACTTACAAATATGCGTGAGTAAATTTAGCAAAAAAAAAAAAAAATAAAAAATGTACAACTGTTAAAGGCTATTAATGCATACAACACGATTACAAACAAACTATTAATGTACGTAAAGCATTTACATTATATAGAAACTTTTTAAAAGTGTCGAGTCGGATATTTTTGAGTTTCAACAATTGCAATAACCCTGCTTGCGAAATAAATGCTGCCCTGGAAAATAGTCACGCTCAAAACTGTTTGGCTTTTAACATTTTTGCCGTGAGACATGCAGCAGTTGTGACCAATCCTTATTTAAAGATTATGTTTAGAAAAAAAAAAAAAATAGCACGAACCGTTCTCATTGTTGAAAGTAAAGTCGCGAATCAGGTGGAGTTGCGATAAATCATTTCGTTCATTTATTCTCCTTGAATATTTATAAAAAAAAAATACAAAAACGGAATATATCATTTTTCTTTCGCGATATTATTAATTCAAATATAAATGTTTTCTATTTATTTATTTAACACTTTTCAATTTTCTCACAAATGATTTATGGATGTATAAAAAGTAAATATATTAATTGAAAAGAATTATTTATATTGAAATACATGGACAGAGACCTTTTGATATAATTAATTATGTTGATTTTTCTATAGTGAAAGGAATAGTTTCATTTTCGATTTCAATTTAATTATATAACAAATTAACAGGGTTGCGATACAAAAATTTTATTTTATTTTTTTCTGATTTCCAGACAAAATTTTCACTTTTTCCCTGAACCTATGAAGAATATTTTCTGATTCACTCGAAAAATTATTAGACACAGACAAAAAATGTTCTATTACATTTATTTACGAATTTCTTTAATTGTAAAATTATTCTGTTTCATCAATAACTTCTTTCTCAATAAATACTAGCAACTAACTTCTTTTACTACCTTTTTTTTAAAAATAAAATTAGTAATTTTAAAAATAATAGAATTTAAAAATTTTCTAATTTAAATTTTTTGTTGAAAACACTAAAAAAATTCAATTTTTGAGAAATTACAAATAATTGGAGAAATTCAATTATTTAATAAAAAAAAAAAATTCTTATAAAAATCCCAATTATCTTTATAAATAACAAAATTCAATTATTTTCAAAAATAAGATGCATTTTTCTATAATTTCAATGATTTTCAATATATCTACAATTTTCATAAAATTTCCCAAAAAGAATTCAATTATTTAAAAAAAAACTTTAATTAAATTGTATGCAAACATTTAATTATTTTCATAAATAATAAAAATTTTACAGGAATTCAATTATTTTCATAAATAATAACAATTTTTTAAGGAATTCAATTATTATTTTCATAAAAAATAATTTAAAATTCTAGAAAATAATAATTGAATTAAAATGATGAAAATAATTTCGAAGAAGTTAGAGTAACAATAATTTTATATAAAATAATAATTTTTTCCCTGAGTTATCGTTAATTATTATAAAAACATGGGTTGCAAGAAATCGATCACTCCGAGTCTTCGACTTGGAGCAATCGATATCTTCATGTTTTATAACAATACTTTCAAAAAATTGTTAGAAATTTAATTTAATTCCTGTGGAAAATTCTGTTCTAAAAACAAGATTAAAAATAGAAATTGTGCAAATAATATTCTTGTTTCTAAAACAAAATAATAATTTTGTTAAAAAAATTGTGATTCATAAAGAAAACTAATGCAAAATAAATAAATTTTCTATTTCTTAATCACAGTTGTTTAACAATTTTCTAATTTTGTTTAGAAGTATAAAGAACAAAAATCTGCATAATTTCAATTTATCGAGAATTCAATTATTTAAATGCAAAAATAAATAATTTATTAAATAATTGAATATTTCTTAAAATTGAAATTTTATGAAGAATTTTATCAAAATTTTTTAAAATAATTGAATTTCAGAGAAAAATATTATTTATTTATGAAAAAAAATTAATTTATTCAAATTTTTTAAAATAATTGAATTTCTCAAATTTTATAAAACATTCTAAGTTATAAAACTTTTTTTAAATAATTAAATTCCATCGAGAAATTTCATTAAAAAATTGAAAATAATTGAAATCTGGCGAAGAATTTTAATAATTTTTTTTTTAAATAATTGAATTCTTTTGTGAAGAATTTTATTAAAGTTTCTTAAATAATTGAATTGCTTTGAAGAATTTTATTTTTTACGAAAATAATTGAATTGTTACGAAGATTTTTACAAACATTTTATTGTATTCTTATGAAGAATGTTATATTTTACGAAAATAATAAATTGTATTCTTTGATCAATTTTCAAATTTCATGAAAATTTTTTAAAATAATTAAATTCTCGAGAAAAGTTTTATTATTTATGAAAATAATTGATTTCTTGAGAAGAATTTTATTCAAACTTTTTTAAATAATTGAATTCCTATAAAAAATGTTTTATTTGTGAAAATAATTGAATTCTTAAGAAGAATTGTATTAAAAATATTTGAATTGTTAGGAAAATTTTATTAACTAACTCTTGTAAATAATTTTTTCGAAATTTTTTTAAATAATAGAATTTTTAAAAAAATTTTATTTAAATTTTTCGGAACAATTGAATTTCTCAGAACTATTATTTTTTTTCAATTCTCTGAATATATTTGAATTCTTTCGAGAAACTTCATTAAAAAATTAAAAATAATTGAATTGGTGCGAAGAAATTTATAAAAAAATTGATAAATAATTGAATTCTTGGGAAATTATTATAAAAATTTTGTTTAAATAATTGAATTTCGGAGAAGAATTTTATTACTTATAAAGATAATTGAAATTTTGACGAGAATTTAACAAAATTTTTTAACACAATTGAATTGATGCGAAGAATAGTTTATCACTATTGAAAACCTTTGAAGTTCTTCTATTTATGAAGATTGTAAACTCAACTCTTTTAAAATCCAATTAATTTAAAAATTTTCAAGTAAAATTATTCATTAAATAATTTATAAATAATAATTTTATGATAGTTCTTCAAGAATTATGTTATTTAAACATAAATTATTGTCAGAAATAGAAAAAATTTTAAGGTTTTGTATTAAAATTCTTGGAAATTTCGACCTATTTCAAGAATATTTGAATTTACAATGTTAAAAGCAAAAAATGAAATTAGGAATGTTGAAAAAAAAATTTAATTAGTTTGTGATAAAATGTAACATTCCCAAGTTTAAATTAGAGTTCAGGATCACAGAACAATTGTAGATTTTTAATTTTATAAATGATTTAATTAACCCAAATTTCACTTTTATGAAATTTTTAAACGTTTTAAGATAATTCTTTATTCCAGATTTCAATGAATCTTCATTTGAATTACTGGAAATATTTCTTGATAAACAAAATTATAATTTAAAATTATAATCGATCTAAAATTGAAATTAAGTTTAAATGTAATTAAAATTATGATTATCAAAATTTCAATTTTATTAAATTTTATTCAATATTAAAAATTTTAATTAATAAAAATACCAAAATTCCAATCTTAATTAAAATTTCAATTTAAATAAAAATTTCATTTGAAATTGTTATCGACTGAAACTAAAATTGATTATTATTTTAATTAATCTTCACTTAAATTAATACTTAATACTTTAATTTAATTATTTCAAATTTCAAATTAGCAAAATTTTAATTTCATAAAATTTTATTCCATTAAAATTTTTAATTATTAAAAATTTCAATTTTATTCAAATAATTCAATTTTTAATTGATACATATACACTTTTGGTTAAATTCTTATTATTTTCAAAATAAATTTGTTTTTAGTAATTTTGGAATTATTTTGAATTTAATTGTTTCTATATTGAATTTATTTCTATTTTAATAATTCATTTTATTTTTCTTATTTAAATTTCAATAACCATTTTAATTTTACTAAAACTCAAATTAAATACATTAAAAGTTAAAGGTTGAATATGCAAATCCTTAGTCTTTGGTGTAAAGAAAAAAAAATCTAACACTTAATTTTATATAAATATTATTATTTTGTAATATCACTTACACAATAGTGTTATATATATTTTCAAATCCTCTCTGAGATAACTTTTTAATTACTATGGTACTTGATTGCAAATAAATTAGAAAGCGATATCTTTTTTTTGCGAAAAAAGCATTCTCTCTCTTTTCATATTTACTCTCAAGAAATTCTAGAGGGAAAATTAAAAAGACACCGCAATTGATGAGGGGAGAAGAGGAAAAATAAATAGGATAATTTCTTTTTCCTTTGAAATCGATCAAAAAGTATACGTCAGTTCCGTTTAGTATATAATAATCAACCGAGCAGATTGCCTACCTTATTTTATATATATAGAGAGAAATTGGCAACAATCAAAGAAAGAATTAAAGAAAAAAGTCTTGCAAATAAAAAGTTATTGTATAATTTTCAGGCATAAGTGACAATTGGAAGTATTATAGAGCATTGCTTTTCAATTTATTCCAACTCTATTATGTCTCTAGCTAGATACTTTCATTTTCTATCCTCATTGTCATGGGAACTACTGAATTTATAATTTA